TTTTTTTTTTTTTTTTTAATTTTTTATTGTTGGCTGTTCAAAACATTACATAGTTCTTGATATATCATATTTCACACTTTGATTCAAGTGGGTTATGAGCTCCCATTTTTACCCCATATACAGATTGCAGAATTACATCAGTTACACATCCATTGATTTACATATTGCCATACTAGTGTCTGTTGTGTTCTGCTGCCTTTCCTATCCTCTACTATCCCCCCTCCCCTCCCCTCCCCTCCCCTCTTCTCTCTCTGCCCCCTCTACTGACATTCATTTGTCCCCCTTGTATTATTTTTCCCTTTCCCCTCACTTCCTCTTGTATGTACTTTTGTATAACTCTGAGGGACCTTCCATTTCCATGCAAGCAAAGGTGAATGTCTAATGATAGTCTTATGAGTCCAATGATGGAAGAAGAAGGACCTGCATTTCTCATGTTAACAATGCCAGTAGCTCCATCTGATGACTCTTATTGGTCCTCAGCACCACCCCACCCCCAGTCCCCACCTGCAACTTACACAAGGGGCAAACAGACCTCATGCCTCTTGAGCACTTGGTGAAGATCTGTTATGCAGGGTCACCTGTGGAGCTTCAAAATCAACAGACTGTTAGAAATACCCAGGTGCTGCAAGAAATCAAACACATGCTGGGAAGTGGTCCAAAATGAGTGGGCAAGGCAAATTTTACTTGTGTTGGGATACCTGGCTAGTAAGTGTTCCAGGAGGGCAGTCAGCCTGCTTTCATCCCTAACGCATTGCTTCCCTTTGTCCTGATAGGAGGATCTCAGGGTTACAATCTATGCAATTAGCTAATTTTAAAATTGGGGAGGACAAAGGGAAGGGATATAATTAAAATGGCTACTATTCAAGTGGATCTTACATCCCAATTAAAACTAAATACTATCTTCTGCTACTTCTTACAAGACCAAGTCAATCAGTGCCCAACCCCTACCTGTACATATTCTAACAGGATAAGTCTGGCATGGTTCTGTGCCTTGATGCATCCCTCTCCCTCCCCCCACCACCTGGACCTCAGCTGTCAGCACAGATGGATGCCTTCAGAACTTGACCATCAGAGTTCTGGGAGTCTCCATACTGAAATGTGCACCAAGGGGCTCTCTAGTTCCTGCTGTGAGACCACCCTCTGCACTGCTTTCTGGCAGTTTCCTCTCCATAGCCTCAGCAGACTGCCAGTTCATGCTCAAGTGAAGGCCACAGGAAGTCATGATCCAGGGCAACTTGTTGATGGGGCTTAGTTACAGGCTCATTCATGTCCTGCAAAGTTAAGATTCTGCATGGAGTTTTAAAAATCCTTCTGCTACAAGAGGAAAATCAAATATGTCTTTTTAACTTCCAGAGGATTTGAAGAGTTCTTTTTATTGGTGGAACTGATTACAATGAATTAAAGTCATAGTTGGTAGTTTAAATGTTATGAGGTTAAGAAACAAATTCAATTTTCTAGTTCCAACATAAAAGGAGTAAATACATCTCATCAGGTCTACTATTTCAGTAGAACCTTATGGATTATGGAAGACTAAGAGAAAGGGAAAGTGGAATTTCTCCAGCAGGCTTGAACCCCAGCTGTTTGAGGTGCCTGTATGTGGTTTTCCTAGTCGTACTGCTCATGTTCATACATTGGGACACTCTGTACTTGCCTTAGGCATGGTGATAACCCCTGCAGATGATCAGCATAACCTCTTTGTCATAGCACCTTCAGGTATGTGGAGTGCACGGTTTTTGGAGTTTGTCACTTTCTGAATTCTGTTGGAGATGTGAGCATCTTGATTGTGTTCTTGAAGGAGGCAGATTCAGGACTTCTGAGCCTAGCACTGCACTGATTCAGACCACAGCCACTCTGGGTATTGCACCTCTCCCCATGCTCAGTGGAGGACCCAAGGATCCTGAGAATGAACTGGAAAAGGCCCTGCCCTCATGAAACTCATGGCCAAGAAAGGAAGAGAAACACCATGCCCATGAAAAATATCACCAAAGAACTGTGTCCAGAGGCTACAAGGAGCCCAAGAGGGTAACACCTCCTCTTGGAGACTGGGGGTAGTGAATACTAAGGCTGAACTTTGATGGATGAACAAGGGTTAGATGAAAGCAGAATTTGGAAAAGGCATTGACTTCAAAGAGAAACACGATATTTTTGGAGGAATATTTGAAGTAAAATATGTGGAGAAGAGCTGTGATAAAAAAATTAAGCTAAAAAGATAATCAGAGTAGATTCAGAGATTTCTTATACTAAATTTAGGAAGCTATCATGTAATTTTAGAACTTCAATAGTTATCAGAGAGTTTATCAATATTTTCATAGCTGTGTTCTTATTTAATATGAAGTGCAACTTATATTTTCCTTTATTTTTTTCTTCTTACTTTTCTCTCTCTTTTCAAAAACCATTTAACAATTTTTTGGAGAGCCGGTACTGGGAATTGAACTCAGAGTTGCTTTACCACTGAGCTACATCCCCAGCCCTTTTTATTGTTTATTCTGCCACAGGGCCTCACCAAGTTGCAAAGGCTGGTCTCAAACTTGCCATCCTCCTGCCTCAGGTTCCCAAGAACCATCAAACAATTTTAAAATGTGTAATTTGGTGGCATTTAGTACATTCACAATGTTGTGCTACAGTTATCACTGTCTGTTTCAGAGCACTTCATCACCCCAAAAGGAGGCCTGATACTCATTAAGCAGTCACTCCTGGCCTCTCCTCCCCTCCCCTCTGGAAACCACTAACCTGCCTTCTGTGTCTGTATATTTGCTTTTTCTGGATATTTCATGTAAATAGTTAAAGTTGGAAGATAAATCTAGGCCTTAAAATTGTCTTAGACACTAGCTTCTGTGAAAAAAATAAAATCTGTAGAAAAGACTCTCTGTTCTGGGAACTACAGAGAGAAACAATAGCTAAAAGGGGGATTTGGAGGCTTCTGGGGCTCTGTGGATCCCTCTCCTTTGCTGATCAGCTCCTCTTGCCTGTTAGCATTTGCAGACAGGTGGAACTGCCTTGGTTTCTGGGTTGGATATTTTCAGAAAGGGCCAGGATCAGCCCAGGCCCTGCACTGGGTGGGGTATTCCTGTTCTTGCTGTAGAAGAGATGAGACAGGAGCTGTCATGTAACCAGGTGTGAGTTGGCATCTCAGCCTCCAATGTGGCTTTCCTGAATTTTCTCCTGGGAGCTGAAGCATCTGGAAGCTGGCAGTTACAGATCTGTAAAATACTTGGAAAGTCAGTGCTTGTACAGTTCCATGTGCATGTTCCAGAGAGGGGAAGAGCCAACTTCTATACCAATGTTAATTTCCTGGAAATGCTGGTTTAAAAAAAAATGTCAAGAAGCAAAAATGAAGTTCTGGGCCCTCAATCTGAGGCATGGTGACTGCTTTCCATATGTAAGTTCACAATGGGTATTGTTTGGGGACAGAGCTTTCTGTGTGGGGGCAAATGAGTGGCCAGCTTTGACTCCTTCCCATGCTGTAGGTAACTCCCTGCTGTCCCAGTCACAGAGGAATTGTAGTTTTATTACAAGGAGAGCTGCATGGGTCAAAGCAGAGGTGTCAAATCCTCATGGGTAAAGGCCTCATGGCCTGATGGATTCCAGGCATACCAACCCCCACTCCCAGGCCCAAGTTCTGACTACGCTTAGGTCAAGCACATTGTTATTCCGGCATTCTCTCAGTCTAGCAACCGGTCCATCTGTCCTAGCTTCACAGGCATCTGTCCAATACTGTCTCCTTGGCTATTCTAGGTGGGCTGCTATCAGCTCCATCCAAATGGGTCCCCTGCCTTCCATTCCCCATTGTTTTTTCATACAGCAGCCAGACTGATGCTTCTGTAGCAGAGGTTGATGAGGACACATGTGCCCAGAGCCCTCCACCTCTTTCAGAATGAAGCTCTGTGTCCTCCATCTGACCACTCCCATCCTCCACTTATTCTGAGGTCACCTCCTGGGCTGTCCTGTTACCCTCAGGTCACTGCAGCCCACCACACTCTTTGACACTCCTCCAATGGGACAGGCATCCTCCTGCAGCTTCAGCTTTCTTCAGCTCCATTCAGATGTCTCACCACAGAGTAGCCTTTTGGTAACAGCCCCCCAAACCACCTGACTCTAACCCTCGCCCTCTGTGCTCTCTGGCAGCATTGGGGAACAGAGCCCATCTGTCCTCCTTGCTGCCTTTTCTCTAGAGTCCAGGGCAGTACCTGGCATGCATCAGAGATCAGTGCTATTTTGTGAGTGGAGATTGTTACTTTCCCAGATGTTGTCATAAGCAACTCTGACACTATTTTATTTTTTTCTCACAGAGCTTTTTGAAAACAACTAGAAAAGAAGCATTAAGTGCTATTAACAAAAGAACACAAGCTCCTTGTGGTTGGGAGAACAGTGCTGACAGGTACGTCCATGAACCATAGCTAAGTCAGGTTTTTCTGAACATTGCAGATGGCATGGGACTTGCAAAGAACCAGTCTTATGTCAAAGTCAAAGCTGGCTTCACAAGCCAAGAGTGGATTAGAAAATGTACCCCTTAGCTCCAATGGAAAAAAAAGAATGGAACTTCGAACTAGTATGCAAAATTGGACCAAGTAGCATGATGAATTTAACCTTGAGTGTTGGGGGTTACACAAGGTGATTTCAGATAAGATTCCTCCTGTCACTGTAGGGAACTCTGGGAAGTACACAGTGAGCCTTAGCTGGGTGCAAGTACTAGATTTCATGGGTGCAGAGCATGTGGACCTTAAGAGTAGAATTAGGTGAATCTCACGAGTACTATGCTTTGTGAAATAGCCAGTCATTTAAAAAGGCAAATATTACTTGCTCCTCTTTATGAGATGCTTAGAGAGGTCTAATTCATACAGACAGAAAGCAGAATGATGGTGTCAGAGGAAGGGCATTGGAAGGACAGTGGGTAAATACGTGCCTGCTACAGCCCCAGTTTCGAAATTTGGGCCAAGTAGTCTTCCCCGACAGTAGGTTCAAGAGCTGAAGCATTTCAATTTATCTTAACAAGTTGTTTAGGAATTAACCAAAGTGTAACTCTGTTCAATTAAAGAGAAATCTTCAACTAGAATTAGTGTTCCCTCTGGGCTGCCTTGGGAAATGTCTTTCTTGTCTCTGCCACCCATGTGTGACCTGAGAATGAGCAGTCAACCAGGGCAGTGGTGACATTCTCCCTGTGCTGAGCTTCTGGGCTCCATTTCCCACCCACCGTTTGGCTGGCACAGTCCTTCCTTGGCCTGCAGTGGTAGTGAACCAAAGGTGGTTGGGTGAGCTAACCTCTGGACAGTGTGCTTGGTTGGCCTTCCTTTCCGGAAACAGAAGGCCTCTTAGCTTTGAGCAGAGTGAGGGTGTCTGTGGAGTACCTGTTGTCTGCCTTCTGCTGTCTATGAGGACACTCCCCATGTCAGCCCCTTGCTCAGAGGCCATTACACTTACACTGACAGGCACACGTACCCTTTTCCTTCTTTCCTGAAGCTCAACTAAGACAGCAGGATTTTTCCTTTTTAAAAGAACCTTACTACATTAAGAACTAAAAAAATATAAATATAGAAAGCAAGTTGGCAGGCTGATGAACAGATTAGAAAATATGTCACATTCCTAAGAAGGGCAAAACTAACTTGAGATATTCCTTCTGGAAAAGAGAAGGGTCAGGAAGACTGGCCATCAAAAGTTCCCGAGATCAGGTTTCAGATGAAGGAGAGAACAGCGCATGTGTTCTGCACCTTAAACTCCAAAGTTCAAGGAAGGCCATGGTGGAGAAGGGCATAGGGAGGCAGATGATGAGAGTTCAGGAACCAGTGCTACCTTCTGATTTTAACCAATATAACAGTTCACTCTCTTCGCTGGGCAAGTCTGTTCCCTGCAGAGCTCTGGCATGTTGCAAACACTGATAGTAAATAGAGTTAAGGCCCCAGAGGCTGACTAATGTGGATGGGGGCTTGAGGCGCCAACTAACCCCACCCACCCACCCAGGGCTCAAACCCAAGACCTGCCACCATTAACCTCAAAACTCTAGGCCTGTATCCCTAGCCTATGGCCATATACTACAGTGCTTTTCAGTCAACCCAGGCCAACGTCCAGACCCCACAGGACAGACAGGGCATGTATAGAAAGTGATTTGCTCATCATGAAACTTCCAAAGCAGTGTTTTAGGTGGGCACAGATTTTTGTAAATTGCTCTAAATGTGCTCCCTTCTATCATGAGAACTTCTCCTGGAGCACCTGACCCAGCACTGTCTAGTTTACTTTCTGAGCAGATCATATCTCTGATGGTCCTTTGGGAAGGACTCCTGGAAATAGACCTCAGGTCACAGTAAGGGTCTTTCCAGCAGACTGGGATGATTAGAATCAGGTACCAAATGCATGACAGAAACAACACCAGATTTCCTTCTCATTCTGCCTTTTCTTTCATGATCAGAGCCCCTCACAAACTTTCTGCCGTGATTGGGAACCTCTGGAACAGCTGTGGCCCCAGCTTCTGTTATCAGCAGCTGCATGCCCCTAGGAAAGCAGATGGCACATTCTCTGGTCTATGTGAGGTTGGTGTCTGATCCCTGCCACACTGAACTTTATCAGAAAGCTACTGGCGAGAGTCTGGGGAACTGTCCTTGGAGTTTGTCAGTGACCCCTTTTTTGCCTTTCTAAGTTCTTTGGACACTGCACAAGCAGTTTTAAGGTATGAATAAAATTTGTCACTGCAATAAGGGAAAATCTACAATTTTATTGTCTTAAAGAGTGTCATTTCTGAGCTATTGGCTTCAATTGTAGAAGGTCATGTAAAATACCTGAATTCCTATCAGCTTAGCATGAATGGATAAGAAATGATCCTGAAATTCCTGATAAGACCTGCCTCCTATGTAGTGTGAGCCAGTCCCTGCTGGGTGCACTATCCTGTCATCTTTATTAAGTTGGTTTTTGACTATGGAGAATATCCAGTGCTGGGGCCAGGCCAGGCTATTGGAGAAGCCCTCCCTTCTCATTGAACTTTTAAGTTCCAGGGCACCTCTTCTGCAGCAGCCCCCTGCAACTTGAAGACAGGGATTTACTGCTGTGACATGGGACTGCTGTGCTTTGCAGAGGACACAGCCAAGGCACCACTCTCTGGGACTGTCACCATGGGGACCCCCACCAAGGCAGCCGGGTCCCCACAGATCACCAGCGCTCAGCCAGCTCTTCTGAGATGGCTTTCCTGTCTCTCCACTATCCCTAGAAGGTAGGGTGAGGTTGGTGGAGGTGTGCACTTTCCCACCCACTGTCACTACCCAGGCAATTGGTGACTTTAGCGTCTTCGTTGTTGCCTTTTTGAGTCACCATGCAGGGATGACAGACCTGGCTACCCTTTGCCATCAGTGTCCCTTGTCCCATGGTTCCCTTTGTTTTTTCAGATCAGTCAGTTATCCAGACTGAATCTGATCATCTGAACTTGTCTCTAACGGGACACACACAGCACTTGTGAGACAAGGGAAGTGCCAGGAGCATGAAAATTTCCTGTTAAGATACTCAGGCCATTTCTCCTCTCTTCTCTGTGGGGCTTTACCTTTTGCCTGTGCTGCCAGCTATCTAATTGTACCAACACCATGGGCTTCACCTGTAACTGCTTTTAATCGTTAATCGAAGTCCTGTAATATTGAAAGCTGAAGATTGAGTAGTCTAGACTATTTCCAAACCCCAACTTACTTATAGCACCAGGGACTGCGTGTGGGAATGTGGAAATGATGGCACGTGTACAGAACCATAGTACAGAACCATAGCAAGTCATGACTTGTGGAAGACACCATCTTTTAATTCCACTCATTGAGTGAAGAGAGAAAATATTTATATTTTACTCTTATTTCTGCAGCTAGAACAGTAGTTCTCAGATTTCTGCTGACCTCAGAGTCTCTTGGGAGCTTCCTGCCCAGCCTAGTCTGTGACTCAGTGGGTCTGGGGTGCTTGTCTCACAAGAGTCCAGTGATGCGGGTGCTGTTGGCCTAGAGTGCACTGTGAGGACCAGCTAATGAAGTCGTTCCTTGGCTTGTCCACACCTTGCTTCCTACTTCCAAGAGGCTCATTCCTACCCTCTTTGGGGCTGTATTCCTGTGACCCTATCAGACTGTTCTGAGATCTGAAGTCTCTGCCTCTCTTCCCCAGCTCCCTGGGCCCTCTACCTGAAGATTCCTGCACCCCCAGCTTCCCCAAGTCCATGTCTGTTCCAGAGATGCCCTGTCCCCTCACACAGTGTCCTCCAGGGACCATCCCAGCGAGAGGACTGGACAATGCCATGACCTCTGCCATCTGTTGCTTGCTTGAAAGGGATGCTCAGGCACCTCCAACTCTGGGATTTCGAGTCCACATGGTTTCTGGAATGGCTGTTTGTCTGCTGATGGAATTTGGTGATGGTTCTGGAGTTGAAATGAGCCTCTATAACATGTCCACAACAACAGAGGTGACTGCCTATCACCAGTACAGGAAAGGTATGTTACCAGTGTCCTCCGGAGTCCAGGGATATAGGAGCAGTGTTGGCACATTAGCCAGAAAGGAAGCCCCACTCCATTCTTCTGGACCCCCTCCCAGCAGGTCTGATGTTAGCCTGTGCGTGAGTCAGTCTGTGCCCTGCGTGCAAGCCTTTGCAAGCATCATCTCATTTAGTTTTTCCATCAGCCCTCTGGGATAGGTGGGTGGGTTGAAGACTAGCCCTGGGGATTGCACAGCTAAAATAGTAGGGCTTCCTACATAAGGCAAAATTCTAGAAAGGTACTACTAATGAAAATCACTTAAATTGTCCTTCATGGACAGATATATAATATCACAATTTTTTAATAATTTTTATTGTTGGTTGTTCAAAACATTACATAGTTCTTGATATATCATATTTCACATTTTGATTCAAGTGGGTTATGAATTCCCATTTTTACCCCGTATACAGATTGCAGAATCACACCAGTTACACATCCACTGATTTACATATTGCCTTACCTAGTGTCTGTTGTACTCTGCTGCCTTTCCTATCCTCTACTATCCCCCCTCCCCTCCCCTCCCCTCTTCTCTCTCTACCCCATCTACTGTAATTCATTTCTCCCCCTTGTTTTTTTTTCCCTTTCCCCTCACTTCCTCTTGTATGTAATTTTGTATAACCCTGAGGGTCTCCTTCCATTTCCATGCAATTTCCCTTCTCTCTCCCTTTCCCTCCCACCTCTGATCCCTGTTTAATGTTAATCTTCTTCTCATGCTCTTCCTCCCAGAGGCATTTTACCACTGAACTACATTCCCAGCCCTTTTTAAACTGATACAATAAATAGCTGAGGCTGGCCCCACACTTACAATCCTCCTGCCTTAGCCTCCTGAGTTGATGGAATTACAGATGTGCACTACAATGCCTGGGTTTTCTCCCTTTTTTAAATCTTTTTTTTTTTTTTTTTTTTTTTTGGTGCATTGTAGAGGGATACTCTTCCTTTTATTGTGCATCCTAATTCCTTGAATAAATCCAGGTGGCCTAAGAATCTTGCTTTTTTGTGTCATGTATGGGCAGGCTCCTGCTACATGGATCAATTCCCATCTTACTACACAGCCTACCATAATTCTGGACATCCTTGTAGTCACTGTCATAATGTTTCTCTTGGAAGCCAGCTTTGTTGTGTGAGCCCTTCTGGTAATGCTAAATTTTCATAGATGAGATGAGTGCATTTGTCTTTACTGACATAACAGGTGTTCAGCCTTAGATCTGTCATATTTTACATTATGGGCTCTGCGAATTTTAAAATATGCTTCATTAAATAACTTCCTCTGCCCCTTTTGTATGTTTGTCCAAGTTAGTTTTCTGTTATATGGAAGGCTTGTGGCCTTGTCTTAGTTGATCTCTTTTATTTATAAAGAGGTTTTTATAAAGTGTCCTTTTTAAAAGAAATATTTATTCTTAAGTTTTAGGTGGACACAATATCTTTATTTTACATTTATGTGGTGCTGAGGATCAAACCCAGTACCTCATGCATGCTAGGCGAGCACTCTACCTCTGAGCCACAACCCCAGTACCTATAAAGTGCCCTTTTTGCTCTACTTCTTTTGAGCACCCATTCATTATCCACTATGAGCAATAACAAAATTTAGTATAGTCTGCTTTCTCTTTCCACATCACCAATTTTCATCATTTAAATGATCTTCATGAGTATTTTTATTTCTGCTCTTATATATGCTTACACACTTCTTAATTGTTTGGTTAAGTTTTCATGCTTTTATTTTATTTTTATTTTTTTATATCTTTATTTAATTTATTTATTTATATGTGGTGCTGAGGATCGAACCCAGGGCCTCACTCATGCTAGGCAAGTGCTCTACAACCCCAGCCCCTCATGCTTTTAAATTTCTAGCAATTACTTACAAGCAAGCTGTGTTATTTTACAACTCCACCTCATCTTCTCTTTCCTCCCAACTGTGTCTTGCTGTATCATTTCCCACTGTCAAGGTATACATTTATATGCTTTTCTGTCACCTGTTCTTCCACCTGTATTTTAATCCTAGATCTAGAGTTAGATACATTTTCTCACTCTTAGTCCTGCCATGCTGTTCTCACTTGACTCACTGAAGTTTGTCCCAGTAGACCCTTTAATGTTTCAGGAAAAATTTCTTCAATTATATCTCTATTTTTCTGTTCCAATATTTAAGCTTTCTTTTTGGAAGATTCTGGTCATACATATGTTGGGTCTATTTTGTCTTTTTCTAAATTTTTTTTGTTCTTTATTTTTAATTCATCTCTCCTGCCTTTATCATTATTTCCTTTATGTTTCTTCTTTTGCATTTGCAGTTTCTATTCTCTGTTATGCTCTTTGAAATGCTGCCATCATTTTTTGCATTTCTTCTCTGTCTTACATCATAGAAGCTAATGATTTCCCAAGTTGTTATATCTTTTTATCTTCTTGTAAACAATGACTTTCTGGCAAATGATCTTACTCTGTTATGAGAATCTCTTGAATTTGTCCTCTTAATTCTTGTAGTATCTTCTGAATGGTCTTTCCTTCTTCCTTCCTTCCTTTTGTCCCTTTCCTTTTTCTCTTCATCAGTATTACTCATAATTAAAAGAGTTGCTGTTTTCTAAAATGGCTGTCTGAAAGTGCTATGCATGTGTGCCATATGTGTTCATGACATTCATAGTCACTGAGTCCTTTTGCCTCTGGGTTCTCACTTCAGGATACTTTCCCTGTGCTTCCCCCAGCATGATTCTTGCTCATTCATGCTTAATTTTTGCTTAATTTTTAACAACTTTTACATCTATTTTATATCCCAAACATATTAGCTAACTTCTGTTTCTCCAAGAAAAAAAAAAGTTTTCATTTTTCATTTTCCTTATCACCTTTGGATAATGCCTAGAAGAGCTGATTGGAAGCTGACTGTAGTTATGTTCAGATCAGCAATTGCTCTATTAATGTTAAATATCTACAACTTTAATACATATGCATTGATTTTTTGTTGTTGTTGTTGTTGCTTTAAAACAAAAATGAGAAGTTGATTTTTTCATCTCCTACTAGAGGTCAAGTCTAAAGCAAACTTTTAGGTAAAGGATACCTAAGATCTGACTATATAATATTCTAGCACCAAATTTTCAAGCCTGTGGAGGGGTCTCCTAACTACTAGACAAATTGCCTTTCTGACCTGGTAGACATGAAATTCTTCTTTTAAAATGAAGCAGGAACAATATATTGGTTCACACATAGCACAGCTCTTAATTAAATGTGATTAGATTAGCACAAATGTACTTTATTTTTTAAATTTTTTTTATTAGTTGCTCAAAACATTACAATGATCTTGACTTATCATACACAAATGTACTTTAAATGTAATGATCAGCACAAATGTCCCTTTCGCTTTCTATTTATTAAAATCCACATGCAGATTTTCTTTTTGACACAGATGTGAGAGGAAGTGTTATAAGATATTTGGGGTAAAGCTATCAATGATGTTTCAGCATTTAAGATATAGCTTCCAAATGAGATTACAATTTGGGAAAGTGTACCTATTCTTGCACATGTAATGTGACCAGATGCCTTCCCTCTGGCCTTCACTCAGTATCCCCCAGGCCCTGTTACTCCATAACTACATTCATTACTCTTCCCCATAGATGTTTAATTCCTTAAAGTACTTCCCTCCTTTCTACATATTATGCTGTTATTTGCAACCTTCTGGGAAAGTGAAGAGAGGAAAGACCATCTCAATTCCTAAGAAATAATTGCATACTCTGTGCCTAGAAAAAATGATTTAACATTTGGGCTTCAGTTTCCCATCCTGAAAAACTTGACTGGTTATTTCATAAGCATTTATTGTGTATCTATTGATTGATTACTTTCCTGACTAGAATAGTTAAGCCTGAAAGTGAAGCATAACCCAAGTTCTGCAGACAAATGACAGATGTAGCCACCATTCTGCCTGGGTCATTAAAAGAGGGTCATGGTAGGGGTAAGTTGGCCAGATGAAGGCATAAAGAAGGAATCTGTGGCCAAGAGAAGGTCATGCACAAGGCTGAATTTCAACAGATATCAGCAGAGCACTAAACCACACACAGAGCCAAGTTGAGTGTGGGTCTCTGTGAACTGTGTGAGTGCATGCTTGAAATGGATCTGCTGCTGCAAGATTTCCCAGACTAGTCCCCCCATTGTGACCAGTCTGCAGATGTTAACTGTTATGCTTATCTTTAAAGTTCACAAGTTCTTCCTCTCTCTTCTTTTTCCAGAAGGGGTCTATATGCTCAGGGCTGTTATTTACGAGTTTCATGGAACCAAAGTGGAGCTTGGACCTTATTATGTGGAAACAGGCTGTGAGGCTGTGTCTGTGTTCATGAATTCCAGCAGTGTCCACCAGGATGAAGTCCTTGTCTTTGCTGGCTCCCCCGCGAAGCAGAAAAGTAAGACCCATGTCTGGAGGCTGAGCAACCAGACCTCAGCTCTAAATACAGGATGACTCTTTGAGTTATTTACACCATCCAAGTGTTAACAATACGACATTTGACATTACTTTCATGTTGTAATCTTCCCTCATTCAGAACATAGTTATTCAGAACATTGTATGCTGGGAGAATATGACAGTGAAATCACACAAGGTGTTGGACTCAAGGAATTTGTAATCTAGAAAAGATATTAAGATAAATACATGAAAATAAGGAAATGGAACAGAAAAGTTTCTTAAGAATGGCTATGAACGTTCAGAAGAGGGGGATTATGTGTAACTGTGGGAACAGAGACTGCCTGAGGTATTGTTACATATGATGAGCCATGAAGGACAGGTGTGTGGGGACATTCCAGGAAGATGGCGCAGCCATAGCCACTGCCCAGACTGAGGATCAATGCTGAGTGCTCACAGTATATCAGGAGCTTTCTAATTTCCTTCCTGTCTACTTACATTCTCCTCACACCCAGCTGTAATGTAGATGATCTGTCCCTTTATGTCAGTGTTATACAGGAGGAACCTCAAGGTCAGAGGAGGAATCCCAAGCTGGTAGGAAGACTCCAGCCATGTGTTATAGAAGGAAGAGTCCAGAGTGTGTGGTCCAAGTAGATGGAATTATGGAATTATAGCATTTCCCAGAAATAATAAAAGGAGAACCCAGAGGGGCATGCATCCCAGTGAACTTATTCATGACAAATTCTTATAATTTGTCCTGCACTTTTTCCATACAGGTAGCCTAGTGAGAAACTCTCCATCCAAGAGTTATAGAATATATAGAGAAGAATTGGTTTTAACCTATTAGCACACTCTAACCAGCCATGGTCATTCATTTGACTTGTCTCACCTAAACTCTGAATAAGTAAATAGCCTGTCAGAATCTAGAATTGGGAGATCTGAGTTTTAATCCAGCCCAACTGATCAATATCTGGATAATCTTTGCTAAATCCATTAATTGTACTTTCCTTACTTTTGGACTGACAGATTGTGGTCAGAATTAATTTTTAGTTGTTGTTAATTAGAATATCACTGTTATTTGTGGGTTTTTAAAAAAATTCTAGTGCATTGATAAAGAACAAAAATAGAAGTTTTCTCTTTATAAACTGAAAAGCCATGCAAAGGAACAGCAACATAATATATAATATAATACAATATCCCTTTATTATAATGAGTTGTTTCAAATCATAGCCCTCTTCTGAATCTGATTCAGTGTTTGGTATCTGCCTCTTAATAATACACTATGTGTGTGTGTGATGCATGTGTGTGTGCATGTGCAAAATATGCATTGCATTTTAGAGGACTAGAGTGCATGAGACTGGTCTTTGGATCTCCATTTATCCTTGTGAGGTGAAGGCTTCTCAGAGAATACACTGGAGAAACACTTTTAACAAGATCATCTAGCAAAGCAATGAATATATTTTAAAAGAATTAACTTACTCACTACCATGAAGGGAGTTCTCTGGAGAGAGAGAGATAACATTTAAGGAAAATTTTAATGAAAGAAATTCTGTGACATGGTTTATATTTTCCAGGCCTGTTTGATTCCAGAGCACATGCTTCAAATTTTGAAATGTATTGGAACTCAAAGAGGGAAAACTGAAAATGGATAATATTGATGTGTGTTGCATGAGAAAACTGAACTAATTTTAAGCCTGTTTTTCTTTCACTATGCTTTTTCTTGTTTCAGGAACTGTTGTGATACATCATATCCCATCCACCTCTTCATATAATGTGTCCTTTGTTTCTCAAACCCTAGTGGGTGACTATCAGACTTGGACCAGCATGACTGTTTGGTACAAGATGCAACGTATGTTTTTACTTTAATTCCAGATTTAACAAAATCTCCCTCATGTGTCAGTTGGGGTTTTTGGAGCCACTGGCAGCACAGGCTCTGGTATCAGCTCTACCTGAGGCCCATCACTTTTGCCCTTAAGCAGGTTCTTGGTTCCCCTGCAGTTTGTTCTAGGAATTTTCTAGAAACCATAGGCACAAGGGTCCCATTGAAAGGTGTAAAAAGGTGGGCTATCATCACTCACAGATGTCATCCCATACTCTTCCAAACATAATTCTCAAAGGAGGCAGCCATCTTGCCTGGTGAGCTATTACCAGGCTTTTGAACTCAGGCTACACCTCCTGCCAGGCTCCTGCAGCTGTACCCTTGGCATAGCCCTGCACTCACATTAGCTCACTGCCCTGACACAGTCCTTGACTAAGTGGGAAAGTAGAGATGATGACTCTCTGGATGGATTCCAGTCCTCCATGTTGATGTCCCTGCACCTTTCTCTCTTTGCCATAGCTGTCTCTATTTACACAAACGGAACAGTGTTTGCTACAGATGCAGACATCATCTTCATGGCTGTTACTAAGGAAACCATACCCCTAGAGTTTGCATGGTATTTTGGAGATGATCCACCAGTGAGGACAACTTCAAGAAGCATTCGGAGAAGGCTCCACATCCCCCAGTGGTTCGTAAACATGGTGGTCATGATGGGTGTGGCTGATGGTGATGCAGCTGGTACTCAGGTGGAACATTATCCTGGTGCTACCAAAATAATTTTAAGGGTGTCATGTTTGTATTTTAACAAGCCAATGAGTGCTTTTGTAAATTGAGCTCAAGCATAAGATTTAAGAGGAGAGAAACTCGCTTTCCTTCAGTGTGCACTATGTAAGAGTGCTGGGCTTTGAAATCAAGCAATCCCAGGTTCAAGTTCTATCTCAGCCACCAATGTGACCTAGGACTGTGCTCACCCCCCTGCTTGAAGAAGCTAACTAATAAGAAGGGGAGGCCAAAAATATTACTCCCCTTTTCCCATAAGGCAGATATCACTGAGTACTCTGATAACTATACAAATTAAGTCCCCGATCCCTCTGCCTTTCTTTTTTTTTTATTATTATTTTTTTATTTTTTGGTATCAGGGATTTAACTCAGGGATGCTTTACTATTGAGCTACATCCCCAGCCCTTTCTATTTTTTAAAATTTTGAGACAGGGTCTCACTAAATTGCTGAGGCTAACCTCGAACTTGCAATCCTCCTGCCTTGGCCTTCCAAGTCACTAGGATTATAGACATGTGCCACCTCACCCAGCTCCCCCTGCCTTTCTGTTGAAATGACATAATTTCTCTCCTGCCCTACTCTCCCATCCCATAGGTATCATGTGAAGGTCAAGGCCTCCAGCAGGATCAGCAGTGTAGTCTCCAAGCCCCACATCATCAGGGTGCAGAAGAAAATTGTAGCCAACCGACTCATGTCTACCACCTCAGCCCTAGTAAACACCAGCATGGCCTTTGAGTGCAGAATCAACTTTGGCACGGATGTTGCCTTCCTGTGGAATTTTGGGGATGGCACTGTCAGCACGGGGAGTGGCTCCAATAGCCACATCTATAGCAGGTAAATCATGTGGGGGCAGGTGGCAGCTTGCTGCAGATAGCAACTGGACTCAGGGTTTCAGGGATCAGCTCTCAGGTTCCTCCCAGCTCTCCTGTCTTTCAGGTGATGTAGAGACAAATGGGATCTGGCTATGACTCTGCATAAGCTTGAAATCCAGGAAAAAGATGGAGAGAAAGAGAGCTGTCTTCTGTGTGGGGTGGGGGTGGGGGTGGGGGTGGAGTTCCTGTTCCAAAAGGTGTGGTGGTGACAACTCATTTTGCTTCAGAAACTAGGGAACCACACACATGAGCATTTGCACATGAGCCCAAGGGGGAATCCTGAGCAGGAGCTTGCCAGAGGGAAAGGGAGGGGGAGTGTTTTCCAACAGACAGCAGTGCAGGTGAGACCCAAGGAGAGGGCACCAGAGGGAGAGGTCTGGGGTAGCTGGTGAGATGTGAATGTAAGAGCAAATGGGGAGGTGGCAGATAAAAGTTTAAGGTGCCTGGGACAGATTGTAGAAGGCCTTCAGTATCGCTCAGAGGAGCATGCATTCTGTCCTTTAGTCTTTACTGAACACCTACTGTTTATCTGCAACAAAGCATTATGGAGATAGTCATGTGTCACTTAATGATGAGGATACACTCTGAGAAACAGGTTTCTATCTGATTTTGTCATTGTGCAAACCTTACAGACCATGTTTGCACAAACCTAGATATATAAGTCAGGCATTTGCTGTCAAGAAACGAAATAAATGAGATGTACAGGACCAGTGCCGGGGAACACAGCTTAGTGTTTCACAGCATACTTTTCTAAGTAGAAGGAGTGCACTCTGAAATAATGATGAAAGTATTATATACTGATTACATAAACCAGTAACATAGTCATTTTCTATCTTTATTAAGTGTTCTAGGCCGGGTAATTCCTTGTGCTATACTTTTATATAAAAGCAGCACAGTAGTTGTTTTCAGCAGCATCACCACAGACATGTGAGTGATATGCTGCACTACTGTATTGTGACAGCTATGACATCATGAGGAGATAGGAATTCTTTCTGTCCATTATAATAATCTTGTGGGACCACACCTGTGTATGCGGTCGTTATACAGTGCATGACCAGATGAAAAAGTGGCACCAATGCTTCTATCCAAAATAAACGTAGCATTTCTTAGAGAAGATGGACAAGGCCATGGGAACCACAAGTACAAACCACAGGATTGCACATCTCAAGATTAGGAGTTGATCAAGTGGTTCCCAGCCAAGTCTCTGGCTAGTCTGAGTTCTGAGTTGAGACCTCCCAGTGAGCATCCAGCCATGAAATAAGTATGGCCAAGGTTGAGCATGGAGGCTTCATGCTGGTGCAGGGGCATATCGGAGTATGCACAAGCATCCAGAAATCAAGCCTTGTGTGGGCAGTAGCACCAGAGAAATGTTGCAAAATTCCTCTAATGCAAGGTTACTACGAGAACACAAGCCACCTCTGCTGCTTTGATGGGGCCTCCTAAATAGTCTATTGCTTCACCACTGGAAATAGATTCTCATGTGTGGAAGGAAGGAATTGACATACCTGCATACTGAGGCAGGCATCTAGGGCCTACACCCCTGGCAGTGTGCTCTTCTGCTCCAGGACATGCCCTCTGGAAGGTGGTGTTTGGTGCCATCTCTAGTGTTTTCCCTGGGCTTATCAACAATCTGAGACCAACCCGCAGCCTTATCGCCTCAGTAGGACTTGCCTTTCTTTCAAATCTCCGGGGTAGCAAGTGACATTCTGGTCCCTGGAAACTCAAATTTGTGGTATTATGATGGGACTATTTTTCTGTTTCCAATTCAAAAGTTTTGAATGATAATCCCTTATGCATCATTTACCAAATCAACATACTTTTCCTTAATGAAATGCAACCTGCTGGGTCCAGTGTTGCCTGTTCACATACTCCTCCTGTGCCGCATCCTTCATAGCTGAGACCCTCCAGCCTCTCCTGGAACTGGATTCAGGTCCATGTTGAGGACCTATTCTGTTTTCAGGACTTTAGGAGTTTTTTCAGGAAACCTTACCCCTGAAATAGACTAAAACAGAAAGACCCTGCTGATTAGGTCCATTGCACTTGTCATACAAGGAATAACCATGTGTGTCCCTCTGGTCAACAGAAAAGGCTGCTTGGAGTAGCAGGTCCTCACCTGGCTGTGCTGTTTTGTTTGGAATGTGTGACAGCAGTTTGGGGTTGGGCACTAGGCTTGACCACTAGGTGGACAGCTGATCCATCACATTAGATAATGAATAACCTCTGTGAATATCAACCTGTATCTCTTCTGTCCCTACTCCTTGGGATGACTTGCCATCAAATACTATAACTATGAAGATCTAGGATGTTTGTGAACAGTGGATAAGCCTGATGTATGGCAACTTTGATCTTGTTTATTTACTTTCTGCCCTTCCAGGGAGGGAGAATTTATAGTGGAGGTCCTTGTCTTCAACAATGTCAGCTCTGCCACCCTAAGAAAGCAGCTTTTCATTGTGCGTGAACCCTGCCAGCCACCCCCAGTGAAGAACATGGGACCTGGGCGGGTCCAGGTAGGACCAGGGTCTGAGGAGTCCTTCCCAGCTGTGCTGCCACACTGCCAGCACCGCTCCACACTGTTGGAGCGGTGTCAGGATCAGCCAGCCCTTTGCAGAATGAAGGAGGCTTTGTGGAGTCTAGACTGCTACATTTTACACAAAAGAACCACTGTCAGGACTTTGGAGAGGATGGGCCAGTCCTGTGGGGGACAAGGCCCACCTCAAGCCTAACGGGAAGGGAAAGCCTGATTTCTGGTATGTGAATAAGTCCTTTATTTGCCTATATGACACTGGCATTCAGCACAGCTTGCTTTGAGGAGATTTTTTTTCTTTTTCTTTCTTTTTTTGATTATGCAGAGAACTGTAGCATTTTCAGGAGAAAGGAAAATTTAACACCAAAATGAAAAGAAATGATCAATTGTTGAGCACCACCTACAGGTTAGGAAAAATAGTGGGGTTTTTTCCTTTCTTTTTCTTTCTTTTTTTTTTTTTTTAATTTCTTGCATTCCTTTGAGGTCTTTGATTTAAAGCAAATTTTACATCTTGGGGCAAAGGTGCTCAGATTATACGTGGGAATTAAAATCCATGACTGAGCATTTGCCAAAACGTTTTCTGTGACAAGCAGAAAGGCCTGTTGCAGCATAGGCCCCAGCACTCCCAGAGGGTGCAGTGGAGTTAGCAGCACTTGCCATTGGCTGGGGCAGGCCTGAGTCTGCTCAGGAAATCCAAAGCTTTCCAGGCTAGACCCCTGCCCACCCTCCAGGCCAGCACACACCAACACTGTCAGGCAGCTTTATGTACTGGGTGCTCATATTATCTGGGGTGGGAGACAGACCAAAAGTCCAGGGGACTTGAGTAAATTAATATAATTCATAGTAGAAGCAACAAAAAATAACTGAGAAGTAATTTAAATAATAACTAAATAACACCTGGGTAGAGCACAAGTCCCAGGCCAGAGGATCTGGAGTGAACCCTGGTTCTGGTCTGAAGCCAAGCCATGGGACACTGCTTTTTTTTTTTTTTTTTTTAATTTGTGACCTGCACATAAAAAAATTGTACATATTAATTATTCTGGTTTTTCAAATCTTTTAAAACATTTTCTTATCTGTAAAACAAAGAAAACAATACTAATAACTCCGTTTTCTTTATAGTTTATTTTGTACACTTAAAGTATAAAGAAAAAAATGAAATCACCTTAATTCCATCCTGCAGAACATAGCTACCATTCATCACCATCTGATGTATTTATATTTATATTCAGTATTTTTCTAAGCCTTTTTATATGTGGAGAGTGTCCAGGTTCACATGGGCTATAGCAAATTTATGTGGAGCTTTTTATATGTGTTTGTGAGTGTGTGTGATTATGATAAAATTGGGTTCACTGGTGGGTTATCATGTGATTACTTTCTCTTATTAAGGAATCTTGAGCTGGGCATGATGGCACACACCTGTAATCCCAGCAATTTGGGAGGCTGAGGCAAGAGGATCTCTGTTGAGAGCCACAGTTTAGTCGGAATGACACCTGGCATTTTGCTAGAGGGAATAGTTGAAAGGTGACCCTGGTGACCCTAGGGCAGCTCAGGGATTAGGGCGGATCCTGCTGGGAATAGGGCAGCTCTGGGATTAGGGCGGTTCCTGCTGCCTCGGGCGCCCACTACTTTGGAGCCCGGTGGAGGGGGTGTATTCCCGGGAAGTGTGTGTAGAGTGCTGGAGAGAGTTGGGGAATAAAGAGTTGCTGTTTGGACCTACAAGGCTTTGCGGCAGCTTGGTTATTTTGTGCCCAGCCAGACTACGGCAGATCTCAAGTTCAAAGCCAGCCTCAGCAAAAGCAAGGCATTAAGCAATTCAATGAGACCCTGTTTCTAAATTCAATACAAAATAGGGCTGGGTCCATATGCAACAAAATGAAACTGAATCCCTTTCTCTCGCCATGCACAAAAGTTAATTCAAAATGGATCAAGGAGCTTGATATCAAATCAGAGACACACCGTCTGATAGAAGAAAAAGTTGGCTATGATCTACATTCGGTGGGGTCGGGCTCCAAATTCCTCAATAGGACACCCATAGCACAAAAGTTAATAACTAGAATCAACAAATGGGACTTACTCAAACTAAAAAGTTTTTTCTCAGCAAAAGAAACAATAAGAGAGGTAAATAGGGAGCCTACATCCTGGGAACAAATCTTTACTCCTCACACTTCAGATAGAGCCCTAATATCCAGAGTATACAAAGAACTCAAAAAATTAGACAATAAGAGAACAAACAACCCAATCAACAAATGGGCCAAGGACCTGAACAGACACTTCTCAGAGGAGGACATACAATCAATCAACAAGTACATGAAAAAATGCTCACCATCTCTAGCAGTCAGAGAAATGCAAATCAAAACCACCCTAAGATACCATCTCACTCCAGTTAGATTGGCAGCCATTATGAAGTCAAACAACAACAAGTGCTGGCGAGGATGTGGGGAAAAGGGTACACTTGTACATTGCTGGTGGGACTGCAAATTGGTGCAGCCAATTTGGAAAGCAGTATGGAGATTTCTTGGAAAGCTGGGAATGGAGCCACCATTTGACCCAGCTATTCCCCTTCTCGGTCTATTCCCTAAAGACCTAAAAAGAGCATGCTACAGGGACACTGCTACATCGATGTTCATAGCAGCACAATTCACAATAGCAAGACTGTGGAACCAACCCAGATGCCCTTCAATAGATGAATGGATAAAAAAAATGTGGCATTTATACACAATGGAGTATTACTCTGCATTAAAAAATGACAAAATCATAGAATTTACAGGGAAATGGATGGCATTAGAGCAGATTATGCTAAGTGAAGCTAGCCAATCCCTAAAAAACAAATGCCAAATGTCTTCTTTGATATAAGGAGAGTAACTAAGAACAGAGTAGGGTCGAAGAGCATGAGAAGAAGATTAACATTAAACAGGGATGAGAGGTGGGAGGGAAAGGGAGAGAGAAGGGAAATTGCATGGAAATGGAAGGAGACCCTCAGAGTTATACAAAAGTACATACAAGAGGAAGTGAGGGGAAAGGGAAAAATAATACAAGGGGGACAAATGAATGTCAGTAGAGGGGGCAGAGAGAGAAGAGGGGAGGGGAGGGGAGGGGAGGGGGAATAGTAGAGGATAGGAAAGGCAGCAGAACACAACAGACACTAGTATGGCAATATGTAAATCAATGGATGTGTAACTGATGTGATTCTGCAATCTGTATATGGGGTAAAAATGGGAGCTCATAACCCACTTGAATCAAAGTGTGAAATATGATATATCAAGAACTATGTAATGTTTTGAACAGCCAACAATAAAAAATTAAAAAAATAAAATAAAATAAAATGCAAAAAAAAAAAAATAGGGCTGGGGATGGCTCATGGTCAAGTGCCCCTGAGTTAAATCCCCAGTACAGGGCTAAGGCTGTAGCTCAGTGGTAGAGTGCTCACCTCCCATGTGGAAGGCACTGGGTTCAATCCTCAGCACCACATAAAAATAGAATAAAGGTATTGTGTCCACCTACAACTAAAAAAAGTTTTAAAAAATCCCTAGTACAAAAAAAAAAGCATCTTGATTACATGATTTTAAAGGCAGCATAATGTTAAGTCTTTCACACAAATTATATATCATTAACAGTGTCTTCATTATGAAATATTGGTTATTTCCATTTTCTATCAGTACACATGCCTTGGCAATGATGTTCTGTGCCAACCTCCTTCTGTCTGTCCATGGCATTTCCATAGCAATAATCCCTACATGTCTCAGAGCTGAAAGACAGAGCACCTTCAGAAGGACCATGCTGGAATCTTCCCATGCTCTCACATGTTGGTGTGTAAGGACTTGCTTGTAACTCCATGAGGATTATATGTTTTTAATGTTTGTTATTAATATGTTGAAAATTGGCATCTAAGTATTAAAATTTGCTATAGCCTATGTGAATCTGGACAGTTTTGTGGCAAGTTCTAGAATGACACCATAATTCATAGCAGAAGCAACAAAAAATAATTGAGAATTAATTTAAATAATAACTAAAGCCATTAGGTAATGCTAAAGGTAAAATCCCGTTTATAAGGATCACCAATATTTCTTAAATTCCCATTTCTCGACTCTCTATAAGTTTTTAACCTTTCCAATTTTCATGGAATATTCAGGTAAAAATTATCCTCTTGGGGGAGCCCTTGCACCCAGCATGGACTTCCCATGTCAAGGTCCCCTAGCCTGGATTGCTTCTCCACACTCTGGGAGTAAGGAATAAGGTTAGGCCCACAGTGTCCAGGAAGGGGCAGGGGGGTGGGTGGGGGGGGGGGGTTGCTTGGGAAGGACAGATCTGGCAAGATCCAGAAGGCAAGATCCGGACTATGGATGGATAGTCACTAAGATTCCTCTTGTATTATTGGTGTTTTTAGCTTATAAATGTTACCAAATATGTTTTTATATTTTTATTAACTACTGTTTACATTAAAAATTTTTATTTTAGAAATGTTTAAGCATGAATAAAAGTAGAAAGAATAGTGCAACAAACCCATTACTTTCAAAGACCAGTGAGATCGTATCAAAGGCCACCAGAGCCAGTTCAAAGAGAGTCCCCCAGGTCCCAAATATGCTACTGCCAGCATCTAAAAGATGTCCACAATTGAATTAATAATATTAATTTAAAAAAAATCAATGATGTTAAAAGAGAGAGAGCAGCTTCTCTCTCCCCACGAAACAGGCAGACACACAGCTCACTACTCACCATTAGAAGTAGCCAGTGACCCAGTCTCTTATTCTGAATGTGATAAATAAGATAAAGAATTAGGCATTTATTCTTGCTTTCCCTAATAAACCATAGTTTAAGAAATCTTATAGTTCTAGCAGATGAAAAAAACTTCTTTTTCTCCTCCCCCTGCTTTTTTTTTTTAAACAAAAGAACGTCTGTGCATCCCCAAACAGTTGCAAAACAATGTGTTTTAGAAATAATAAGAAATATTTGATTATGGACTACGTTTTAAATTGTTTAAAAAATTCCTTCTTAATTGTTAAGGTGAGATACTAGCTTTGTGTCTGAGAAAACACTCTTAGGTTTTAGAGATATATATTGAGTACTTAAAGGTTTAAATATCATGATTTCTCATAATGACTTTAGAATATTTCAGCAAAGTAAAAAAATAGAGAAAACAAATACCTCTCAAAAATGTTGCAAACAATTTTCTTTTTTGTTCTATTGTTTTTCTGAATTTTATATTTTTGACATTCAGAAGTTCAGAATTTTTATGTAATGAAATCTAGTTACTTCTCCTTTTATATTTTCCCCTTAATTTCATGCTTCAAAAGTTCTCTTTTTTTTCCCAGTAGGAATATGTAAGGAAAAAATACTTATTCTTCTTATTTTTCTATTTGTACTTTTTACTTTTCTCTATGAAATAGAGGCAGTATTTGCTCTGGTGCTGTCTCAAGTCCAGCCCTAGATTCCACCCTGTGATTCATAAACAAAATAATTGGGGATTTGAGAGAATGAGTTTCTAGAATTTACTGTGTCATTAGATATGATGGATGTCTTCTCTTGTCAATACTTAGATATGGAGGTCTCAGCCCCTGAGATTGGGAGTCACATTTGAAGCTGCTGTCCTCTGTGACATTTCTCAAGGTCTTTCTTACACCTGGAGCTTTATGGACTCTGATGGGTCCCCGGTCCTCCTCCCTGCTGCCATCAATGTCCACAGACAAACTATCGTTCTCCCAAGCTACACGCTGGCATGCGGGAACTACACTGCCATCGCCAAGGTGAGCTCACTGCCTGGTGCCATTGCCAGTTCATTGAAACCAATGCTTTCCACTCTGTGTTGGAGTAAGAGCTCAGCATTTGTAATCCTAAATCTGTTCTACCAACAAATGGGGGTTGTTAAGAGCGTGGGTAGGATTTTGGAAGAAATGTTCAAGTCTCCCCAAAGAATGTATGTTCAAATGCTAACATAATCAATGAAAAACTCCTTCTAGTTTATTTAACTAAACCTTCCTGTGCACCAGAAGAATATTTGACTTGGCCATGTAGGAGTTAGTCACCCAGAAAGGGCGGGAGGACCACCACCAGAGGGCAGGGCCATGAGAACGATATCCACAGTGACCACCTGGCACTTTGGCCCTCACCCAGTGCTCAGTGTATTTTTGGCTAGGAAAATGGTGAAAATGTGTGGATTAGAAGAAGGAGTCATTGCCATTACAAGAGTGGGCTCCATGAAAGAAGGGTCCTGAAAACAGTTGGTGCACAGGCATAGAAAGTGGGGTGTGGGGAGCAGCTTGGCCAGGCATAGTGCGCAATAGCTGTCAGACTGTAGTTAGATGGGAAGGCCAGACTTGAGGAGATGCTCCTTGATACCAGACTGGGAACCCAAAAATCTCTGCAGTAGAGGAATGGTGTTCTTTCACTCTGTGGGGTGCATAGTCCTGTTGAGCCTTGGTCCCAGCGCAGGCCACAGACAGCTCACCACAGGGTCCCTGGACACACACACTAGCCTCAAGAGCAATCAAGGAAGGGATCCCACTGGATCTGTGCTGGATGTCATGAACGGAGCCCTCACATGCTTCCTCTTGATCCTGTACTTATCTCAGTGAGAACTAGACACACCATGATTGGCCGAGTGACAGAGGGCCACAGACCACACCGTGAGGAACTCTGTTAGCTACAGGTCATAAGAAAAAACAATGTTTCTGAGCAGGATGCATGTTCTTCTCTAGAAGTATTAATGAGAGAGAATCGGAAACTGATTGAAGGATGGGTTTCTGGGTGAGTGTTCTAAAAGCCAAGTCAAGAAATACTTAGGGGCTGAAACAGGTAATGACGATGGAATAAAGAGCCAAGCAGGATAGATAGGAACAGTTGATTTGCCATGATAGCTAATTGTGAGAGTTCAAGGGAAAATTCAAAGAGAATCTGTAAGACCTGGTGAGTGGAGCCGAGTAATGGAAACCAAGTACCTATGAGTGTGCTGGGAAGGGATGCAAAGAGAAATAAGGTTTTTGCCTACTTGGGCACATGATGTATTGGGGGAGATAGACGGACCCCAACAAGCTACAGAAGATATGATTCATGTCTAAACAGTGATGGGAAACTCTGAGGGAGGAGCAGCCCTGAACCCTCAGCCACATCTTTGTTGACTAGGATCATCAATTGTCGGAAAATGCCCCCTAATGTGAGTCACATGCATGGGGAGGGGGATGATCATGCTGAAGCAGGTGGGGCTTGTAGGCAGAATGGTGGGAAGGTCTAAAAATGGGGGGTCAGTGGGGGGTCTTCTGAAGATGACCAGAGACCTGGGGTGGATTGTGACTTCAATGTTAAGAGGTTGAGCTTGACATTTCTGGAGAGTATTCAGGCGCCATGTCTGTCAAGACAACAGAATGGAAAGTGGGTGGTAGCTAAGGTGGAGCTGGATACAGCCATCTAGCCAGAGGAGAGCCAGCAGAGGACAGGGAGCACAGCCCCCAATTGGCGGGAGTGCAGATGGAGAGAGCTATGCCAGAAAGCCACATCTTCAGGGGGAGGGAGTAAAGAGGCTCAAAAAGGAGGCAAGGTTTTTGGTATTTCTGTGCAATATAAAAAGCACCATGAGTATTCATGTTATTTCTTTTTCTTAAGCTTAATTTTCAAATACTGGAAATGTTTTAGTAGGTATATTCTAGAAAATGGTATGTGCTCCTGATTCAAGCTGCTTGGTTTATCTCAATTTGTAACCTGTACTGTTCATTGTCACAGACAAGAACAAGAAGATTTTCTGTGCCTGTGGCTAAACATGGGGTATCTTAGGCACTGGCCTTGGTGGAAGCAGATTCTTGGTGGAAGATTGAGGTCAACCTGAAGTAGTCCAGAGGCAGGGTCCTGTGAGGTCACTGAGGGAGCTGTCCTCTAGCAATCTTGGTGCCCTGGTGGAGGCATGAGTGGGTGGGAGGATGCTCCCTAGATGGGCTATGATCAGCCTCCAGAAGATACCTCATACTGCTGTTTATCTACTCTGCAGACCTTAAGTACCAGTGTCATCACCATTCTTTAGGTCTGTTTGTGACCAGGAAATCAGGAGGATTTTGGAAAAATCCTCCTTCCAACCAGGAAATCAGTTGGCAGTGTATCCAAGGGATTCTCTTTCCATCCGCCAGCTTCATGAGAGTGGGGGTACAGCAAGGGAGATGGGGTAAAACTGCTAATAAGGCAGGAATTGAAGCCTGGCATGTCCAGCCCAGGGTTCTGACCAACTGGCTTATAAGAACCCTGCTGGCCATGTGAGGGGTCAGGGCTGGGTCCATGCTCTGACATCAACATCTATTGGTACATTTGTTCCTTAGCTATGTCCTTACCCTCCAGCAGCCTCCTGTCCTGCCTCTGCCTTCTAATTGATTGCTTTTCCATCTCTGCTCTCATCTGGATGTTATATTTGTGATCAGACCCTCAGGCTCTGAGCTTCTCCCACCTCTGCACCTTCCAGCACCTCCCACATTGAGCTCACAGGCTTGGAGCCTTCTCAGGGTTTCCTTGGTGCTGGAGGAACTGAGTAAATACAGGTTGGGGATGTAAATCATAGTTTTGATCATGTGGTCATTATGCTGTCTCTGGTTATACTCAGGCGCCTGACCAGCAGGGTGCATTTGTAGGAGGAAAATCCAGAAGGGATGAGTCCAAGTCCAGGGAAAAGTACAGCAAGGGTTAGACTATATCTTTTCAAACACTGCTCACAGCTTACCATCAAAATTTTAAAAGAATGTTTTGAATGCCTTATTTATAAATTGTTTTATGTTTTCTAAATTTAGAAGTATTTGTCTGACACAGGCATGATGGCACATGCCTGTAATTCCAGTGGCTAGGGAGGGTAAGGCAGGAGAATCACAAGTTCAAAGCCAGCCTCAACCACTTATTGAGGCCCTAAGCAACTTAGCAAGACCCTGTTTCAAAATAAAAAATAAAAAGGATTGGAGATGTAACTCGGTGGTAAAGCATTCTTGGGTTTAATCCCTAGTACTAAAACAAACAAAAAAAGCACTTGTCTGAAATTTCATTTACAGTTCTTAAAGTCCATTACACATTTGGATGAAAGTCAGAAAAATGTTAACAGAAGAGGTTTGAGAATTGTCACAAAATGGCATACATGGAATATTGCTATTTGAGGTTCTATGTTCACAAGCCCAGGCAACTTTGCAGATTAAACCTGACTTGATAGGAAAATGCTCATACTCTCGCCTTCAGCCATGTCTCCAATGGGTGCATAGTAGGTGGTTTATTTTGACAATAGTGACTGGTTTAGCTGAACCCAAGAATGCATATACACACACCCTTATTCCCTTTCTAGTGTCATGTGTAGAGATCCAGCGAGCACCTGCTTTGACCCTGTGTGATACGCCCCTGTTTTTGACCCCCTAGGTTCAGATCCAGGGCAGTGTGGTGCACAGCAACTACTGCGTGGGTGTGGAAGTGCAAAGCAGGGCACCCGTCAGTGTGATCTCGGAGGGCACACACCTCTTCATCCCCAGGGCTACCTCAACCCCCATCATCCTCCAAGGATCCCAGTCCTATGACCCAGACTACCCGGGGGCTGCTCTCAGGTGAGATGGGGAGCTTTGCTCCTCTCAGACTCTGACTCCTTCAAACTCAGGAATGTTGGGAAAAATCATTTGAGAATTCTGTATAACATTTTTAAGAAATGAAAGTCCATCTGCTTTCATAAGTCAAACTGTTTTATTTAGATCACAATATAAGATAATTTAGAAAAGAGGGGAGAGAAATGTGAATAGCTTTTAAAGGTGGTATTTAAAATATGATTTTGGAAGGTGATGTCTAACCATTACCCTTTCATTAAAATTTCTGGGTGGTGAGAGGCCTTGTGTGGGAGAGGAGAGTGCTACATGTCCCTGTGGGGGGTCTCTTGCTATTGGAGGCCCCGACACAGGCCTTGTCCCCATAGCCATCTGCAGCCTGACTTGGGGACCTAATCAGTCTCCTACTTGGGTCTGTCCATGATCCCTGTACATGCATCCTCCCTGGACCCATCCCTGCCCAGTAGCCGCAGACATGCATCCTCAGTAGGGACCACTCCAGGCTATATGTCCCTGCCCCATTTCAGCACCCCCTTTTCTGTGCCTTGAGACCTCTCAGACACAGTTCCTACTTCCTCACATTCAGTCTCCCCATCTCCACTTGAGGAACAATTCTCCCTGCTAAGGGTTTTGGCTGAGTGACTCCTCTTTCTCTCTCTGACTTCTCTCTCACACACACCTCATGTTCCCTCTGTCAAGATCTTGTCAGCCTTACCTGAAACACCAGCTCTACATATCTTCTCTGCTTCATTGTGCTGAACCCCCAGGGCCTTAGCTCATCTTCGAGACAGCCTCTCCTTAGAGCTTCCATGCCTCCATCCTCCCCCTGCAGCCGATTCTCCAAGGCAGAGGATGGATTCTTCTTGAACAAGTCAAGTGCCCTCACTTCACTATTCTAATCTTCCAGAACTCTCTTTTTACTCCAAGTAGAAATCAACATCCTCAGCTGAGGCTGACATGTCCTTTTAGCTCCAGCTGCAACTGCCCCCGACTCCTCCGCAGTTCACTCCTAGCCAGCGTAATCTTCCCTGAGCTCCTGGCAATCAGGTTCCTTCTGTAGCTCTTCTCTCAGTGGTGAGTCTGCCACCACCTCCTTCCTTTGATTCAATGAATGCTCAAGCATCACTTTCCCAGTGAGGCCCATTTAAAATGATGAATCCTGGCTTTCTCTGTTATGGTTTCACTTATGTGGCTATCATCCTGCATTGAGTATGAGCTCCAGAGGGCAGGGCTCTCCCTTAATATATCCCTTGTGCCTGGAACACAGTGCCTACTCTACTACTACTTTATAAATAATTAGAAAACTCGCTTTGTTGTCTTAACCCCTGAGATAACCGCATGTGTTTGCTACACTACAGTTGTGGGATTCAGTGTTCTTTTAATCCAAAAGAGGAGAGAGAGATTACCATCTCCCACCCCACCCCATTCCCCCAACTTCCATATCCTCTTGAGTACCCCACCATTTGAAAATTCCATCTGTGGGGCTGGGGATGTGGCTCAAGCGGTAGCGTGCTCGCCTAGCATGCGTGCGGCCCGGGTTCGATCCTCAGCACCACATACAAACAAAGATGTTATGTCCGCCAAGAAAAACTAAGAAATAAATATTAAGAAATTCTCTCTCTCTCTCTCCCTCTCTCTCTTAAAAATTAAAAAAAAAAAAAAGAAAATTCCATCTGTGTACATGCTCCAGGCAAAGAGACAAAGTGCTTATAGCTATCTCTACCCTGGGTCTAAGAGACCAACTGGGTCTTGTTTATCATTGTACCTCTCAGCACCCAGGTTCATGCCTGAAAACAAGAGATCAGTGCATGGCTGCTGAAAAGTGCTGAATTTGCTTCCAGGGAGTGCAGAATAGCCCAGCTGATCCCAGGTTCACTTGCTCTTCCCAGCATGTAAGTCAGAGGATGCTGCCACCCTGTGGGGTGATTAAAGGGCTGTCATAATGCCGCCTCATATGGTTTGGAAACAGGTCTAGAATGTGGTACCTTCACACCATCTAGGGAGAGCCACCTTTAAAGCACAATGATGGCTCAGACTTAAGTAGCACCTGAAGAAACAGCTCTACTGTCAGATTGGTCCTGGACCGTCCAGCCATGCATTTCTAAGCCAGCGATTCTTCTCTGCCAAACTGCTTGTTTAGCTGTCCCTCAGGAATGAGACTGCTCAGGGTTAGGGATGATGCTGGCTGTCTGCTTGCTTGATCTTGATAAAGCAAACACATTTGTCTTGTTGAATATGACAGTTTCATTGCAGGAAGGTGGTGAGATTAGAGCAGAGATATCTAGAGTCATCCATCTGCTTATCCCATCTTTCACCAGCTCTGAAATAGGGCAGTTCTCTGAGGCCTCTGGAAATGCATTTTCTTCCTAAATTTGGGTCAATATGGCATTCCTGTATGTCATGTGAAATTGTCACAAGGATGAGATACAGTGTTGGCAGACTGCTTGAGGGGAGCATGCTGTGTAGTAGATGCATGTTGAGGCAGCAGAAGTGTGAGCAGAGGGAGTCACTGTGTGCAGGAAGGGTGGCAGCAGCTACCAGGCTGGTATGGAAAGTGAAGGTCCCCAGGGATGAAGTTGGGGTTACACATCAGTGAGTGGGAGGAGCTAGTCTGAGAATCCAATGATTGACACCTCACTGATGGAAAAGAACAAGGGGACGTCATCTCTTCCCCATGCCCATGTCCCCTTGACATCAGAGGTTCCATGACTGTCCGTTCAACAGGTATCATTGGACCTGCACTGCTGCCAACTCACCTGGACAGCCCTGCTTTGACAATTCCACTCCACACCAACTGGACCCTGGGGCTCCCACGATTTCCTTCACAGCAAAATGGCTTAGCGAATGCTGTGACCAGTTTCTCGTGACACTGATGGTTTCCAGCACTGGCAGGAATTCTTCGAAGGCCGAGGTGTTCCTTTCCATCAGTCTTGCTTTTGCCTTCAGGTATGTGACTTGGAGCTGAGCTGAGCTGAGCTGAGCTGAGTGGTCCTGGCTGGTGTTGGTAACCAGGAAAGTAATCCATGCATATGGAAGGCAGTTTGGGGTTTAGTCATGTTGGATCATGCTGCTAAAGAGGAGGAAGGCATTGTCAAGAAGGGGCTAGGGACTGATCTCTGGGAAGCTCCTGATAGGCTAAGCATGCCAGCACAGCAGGGATCTCTGGGTAGGGTCTCAGGGGGTTCCCTCTGTTTCAGAATATGCCTCTAAGACCGGAGACTGTCCCAGTTCTTGGGGCTGATGGCAGAAGAGGCAAAGCCATCTGACTCCCAAGGTAGGCATTTGGGGAACCCAGTTTAACCCTTCTATACATCTCAGGTTCATCCCAAGAATGAACCCAGTTGTTCCATCTGAGACTATGAGAGGTTGCAGAAGAAAAGAAATGTTATGACCAAAACCCAAAAGCACTGCATCACCCATAGTCCATGTGTAGCTCCCAAACATCAGTACCAGGATCAAGTTGAGTGGCCAGGGTGGGCATGGGCACAGCAGTTCACTGACCTCCCCCTCTGGAAATAAGAGTCATTAGACCTAAGTGAGAAGGAGGTGTTGCCCAGGGCCCACCACTTTGAGATGATACAAAATTTTACTACACCACTCAGAATGGCACAATTTAATCCTTATGAATTAATCCTGGAATTTTCCATTTGCTTCAGTAGCCATAGGTATCTGAAAAGGTAGAAAGTGAAACTGTGGATGGGGGGAACCACTGTGTACCAGTATACACAGGGATACACAGGCACACAAACACACACATGGACAAGCTGGACATGGTTCCCTGCAAGGAAGCTGTGCGGCCCTTTGTACCATGACACCTCTCATCTCCTGCACAGGGAGCTGTATGTTGAGGCTGTGGTCTGAGAAATGGGGCACAGTGCATGGGGTGTTTGCATGGGAAACACTGCAAACCACTTAGTCTTTATCATTCCTGGACCTTTAGAGGCTCGCCAAGTCCAAAAAAAAAAAAGCTGTTTGATAGGGCCTGACAGTCTCCAGCCATATGGTAACATCTGGAAGAACCCCTGTCCACAAAATGTGCTTTCCAAAGTGCTGGTCAGCAGAGAGACTAGAGAAATTGTCAGGAGGTGGCTGTGGTGGCACTGGGCTGTGTGGAGGGTAGAGTTACATATGGAATTGTGTGTGGTAAGGGGCGGTGGTGGGGTGGGGGTATCCCATCACCATTGGCCCTGCACAGAGAGGAGGTAAAGCCAAGGCAGATGGCAGCATCTTTCTTTGTGAGCTCCTGAGACTTGGTGAGAATCACAAAGGTGCATGGTTTGGTGGGTCTGCATGAGGGTGGTTTTGAAGACTGAGCTGAGGAGATGAGGAGATTACTTAGGCATCGGCTGTTCTTTATAGAGGGCTTGGCCAGAGCCCAAGATGAAGGCCATGGGTCTCAAAAAAGTCACATAGCCTCTCTGAACTGAGCCAGGTTATAGTGTGTTCCTGGTCTGTTAGATCAAATCATGTGTCCAGTATGGCGCAGCTGGTCACATGCCATGTGCTCCATCATACGGACTTGAGTTCCCATGATGAAGAGACAGCTTGGGCAGTTTGGGCATTCCCAGCACGAACGCATGCAGCCAAGGGCCCATACATTTTCCTAAAATATCAAACTGATTTGTATATTTCAGATTCATCCACATCTCCTGGGTCAATTTTAAAGACATCTATGTCAATTGGAATGAAGAACTGTCTCTCCAAGCTCTGTGTGAAGACTGTGGAGAAATACAAAATCTCTCTTATTCCTGGGATCTTTTCTTAGTCAATGCAACAGAAAAGAACAGGATTGAAGGTGAAATGTTTGCTTTATTTTACTGACTGAGGAGAAAGCTCAGGGTTGTCTTGCGTTTGCCAAGAGTTTGGTCTGACCCAGTATGTCTGATTTGCCAGGTTGATGGCTTCTGCTTCCCTAGCACCTCTTGTTTTCACCCTCCAAAAGAAAGGAAGGAATCAACTGCTACTCAGGCACCCTGTGGAAGTGACAGAAGGCTATGCCCAGCATTCACTGAGACAGTTTTATTTTTTTAAAGCCACAGTGAGCTATTGAAAAGGACACATGATGTGACTCACCTTTCAGAGGACTGTGTCCCTATGATATTGTGAAGTATATATTCAGTCTGCATCCCTGGCATATAACTCATCCCTGGCATAATCCCCAAATCCTTGGAATCCTCAAAGTAATAGGGCCTTTTTGTATGCTAATGAGGTGACTGATGACTGGAAGCTCTCAGGTAGCTTCAGGATGAGAGTTGATCTTCAGAAAGACCAAGGTGGGATGGCCAAGATTGGGAGTTTCAGCCTCAGTTGGTCACCAAGGGCCAATGATTTAATCAGTCATGCTTGTGTAATGAGGTTGTCATCGGAACCCCTGATTTATAGCTGATTAGTCAGAAGCACAGGTAAAACCATCGGGCTCGCAATTGGCACCCAAAATAGGCACAGTCTTGAGGCTTAACCTGTGAGGTCTGAGGTTACCTCCAGTTACATAGTGTGAGAATTGAACTGAATTGAGGAATACAAGTGGATGTCTTCTTCAGAACTGCTTGCTTTCTTGTTAGTGGGGAGAACTCACACCATTTAGGATCACTGAAGTGATCTGTGTTGTAAGAGTATAGTACGAGAAACTGAGTCTGATTTTTCTACACAGTCTTTCAGACTGTTCTACACAGTCTGCATGGTGAGGGCTGGTTCTGAGCCTCTTTCCTGCACTGCCAGCTGGTGATTATAACCTCCTCTCCAAGATTCACTGAAAGATGGGTACCCTTCTTGTCAGCCCAAAAGACAAGTTGAGGCATGCTGAGTGTGGGAACAAAGAGTTTATGCAAGGCAGAATGAGGATGGCCACCAAGGTAGAGCACACAACTTTAGTTGCCCAGAGTAAGGGCTCATAAAATGATATCCAAGAGACTGGGTTTTATAGGTTAAAACAGAAGAAAGAAGTTGCAATTGATGAGAAAGACACAGCATGTGGATTAATGGTCAGTCACTGATGCCATACCTTCCAAGTAGGAATTGCAGTAAACAGGAAAGGGCTTTTACCCGGGTTATTGATTATCATTGTGTTGTTGGGAAATCTGCAGACATGAGATGTGTGCTGGGTCAGAATGACCTAGGAAACTATGGTCTAATGCCCCAGGATTAAAGAATTTTTTAACATCATTCTTGTCACATTTAAGTCCTTTCTCATACTATTCCACAGAGTGGTGATAAGACTAAGTAAAATAATGTGTAAGAACATGCTGGGTGTTGGGCTGGTTGGCTCGCAGTTTGGGTGGGACACTTAGGTATGAACCAGGATCAAGACTGAGTTCTCATGTGGTGATGACTGTGATCAGGGGGACAGTTCCCATGGCAAACAGAGCAGCTTTGTTTGTGAGCTGGCAGCCAGCTCTTTCAGCACAGCTCCTGCCAAACCCCTATTGGCCTTCTGCCATTTAAAAACAATCTGTTCAATGGGGCAATACAAAACTTCTGAAAGTAGAACTCTGAGTACAGCTGGCCTCAGTGGCTAAGGGGACATGAAGACATTGAGTGCAGTCATGCCCTGCATTGCAGGAGAGGAATTCCTTAATTCTTTGGGGTATGTTGAATTTTCTGGAATCAAAGCCAGAGGATGTCCAGAGGTTAAATTTCCAGGAAAGGAAACATTGCCCTAGATGGATGAGTCTCAAGATCCTGGCTCCCCCAAAGTCAAAAGCAACAGCATGATTGACAGTTCATTTATATGCCCATGGCTATTTTTTTTCTTTGCTCCTGATTCTTCATCATAAATTTGAACAATGATTTTTGGAATTGTTATATTCTGTCCTTACTGTCAGGTAGGGGAGTGAGGATTAGGAGAAATTCCATGTTCCCCAAATTGTTTCTATAATACATGAAAAACCAATACAGAGAGTGTGGAGAATCTGGCAGGCTCCCTTTCAGTCTCTATGGATCCTGGGGAAAGCAAATCCCCCCCTACATGTTTGCTGCAATTGGTCTCCAGACTATCTGATGAAAACCACGTTCCATGGGTTTATCTCTCAAGTGCGGGCTTTGAATTCACGTCAGACTTGTTGAAAGCAGAGCAGTCTTACAAAATTTACAGACTTTTAAAAAGCTAATTTTTCCTATTTGGTCCAGAATTTTAACACTGTCATATGCGTGTTTAAGTTCCCTTTTGTAGCACTGTGGGGCTGCTGGGTGCCTCAGCACTCGGAACGACTTTGAAGTCATCAGAGTCAAATCTTCTGACCACTGAGCCAAATATGACAGATCCCAGTGGATCACCCACGCTGTCTTCACGAGAGCCTTCACCCATGATCCATGGTCGGCTTGCCCTTTTAGTCACTAGAAGCACCTCTACAGAGTCCACTGTGGGTGGCCACCAGATTCCTGCTTCTGGTGACAACACAGCCCGGGAGGATCCTTCTGAGGATGAGTCACTGGGCCCAGAGCTGGGGTCCCTTGGTGAAGGAGCCTCAACTGTGAGCCCCTCTGAGAGAAGCTGGTCTCCACCCAGCTCCTCACCTGCCCTTGATGGCAAGTACCTCCATCTCTGCAGGTTGTCCCCCTTATTTGGGCACCAGGGTTATCTTGGGAAGGGTGCATCTGGTGGGTCAGGTTTGAAGTCACATGCACAATKYCCTTGAATCACAGAGTGCTGGATTCACACCCACTATTTGTTATCCATCTCTGCAGGTTGTCCCCCTTATTTGGGCACCAGGGTTATCTTGGGAAGGGTGTATCTGATGGGTCAGGTTTGAAGTCACATGCACAATGCCCTTGAATCACAGAGTGCTGGATTCACACCCACTATTTGTTAATTGTGGCTTTAAGTGAAACATTGTGATTTTGTCTCATAGATTTTGAAGCCTATTACAGTGATATCCAAGAAGCAATGCCATCTAGAGGAAGACAGAGAGGTAACTGCTTCTATGATTGTTCCGTGTAGGACCTGCATCCTGGCCCACTGTTCTCCATCTCTTCTCCACACCCTTTCTTGAAGGCTAGATTCATGTGCTTCCCCCTTACATCAAGGCCACCTGGAGCTCCCAGAGTCAGAGGGAAAGTTTAAACTCCTCTGCCTGGAACTGGTTGGCCCAAAACTTTGCTTCTAGCTTACCTCCTTCTGCACTTCTTGTACTCTGCTCCAAAAATCTCTCAGTAGCCTCAGGCCTGATGATGAGCATTCCAGCTCTCCCAGACCCTGTCAGGGGGGTCCTCTGCCTAAAATGCCTCCCCCACACTCTCCCAAGTTGCCTACTTGCCAAGCATCTTCCCTGAAGATCTGCTCTATTTACCAGTCTCTGAAGCATTTCTCAGTCTGATGATGACCCCCCACCAGCCAAGGATATTTCTTCCTAACCGTTTAATGCAGAGGGCACTGGTCTAATCATCTCTTTGTCAGTCTCTTTTACCCTGAGATCTTCAGAGAAAGCTTCCGTGACTAGCTTCTGCTAGTGTCTCCAGAGCTATTGCAGTGCTCGGCACATTAGCATCCAGTAAGGGTATTATCCAATGATGACCAGAAAATGATTTATTTATCTATCAAGTAAATGGATGACCCATTAGTAGATGATTTATCTGTCAGGAAAATAAACGGATGATGAGTGAACACTTGATTAATCTGTCTAATGAGTAGATGGAGGATTCAAGAATGATTTATCTGTCAGTGAATAGGTGGACAATTTATTTGTTGACAGAACTGATAGATGGATGGTGAGTGAGTTATTTATTTCTGGAGTGAATGGCTGGATGAGTGAGATCATGTGGCCTGGTGTCACTCTGCTTCTGTTCCTGCTGCATGTGGTCATTTCACTGCATAGCAGACAGATTTCTTTCCCCACCACAAGCCACACTGTCACCTCCAGACAGTCCCTCCAGTGGCTTCCCACCATACACAGGACAGAGGCTGTGGGCTGTGTCCCGTAGCATGACCCCAATTTCATAGGCCACCATCCCACTTTATTGACTCCCTCTGACTGCCCTTGGAAGACCCTCCCCATGGCAATTAATAAACCACACCATAACAGTGTGATTTTTAACTCAGTATGGAAACTTCCTCCTCCAGATTTCAAAGAGCTTCTTCCATCCTGTGTTCTGAAGCCACTCTAGAGAGGTGCTCCCCACCACTTTTCCACTCCCTGCACTCTCTTTCTCTGCAAATCCTGTTTTATTTTTCTTTATCACACTTATCATTAGCTGATTTGCATTATCTATGTATGTACTTGTTTTTTTTTTTCTGACTCTTTTGCTATAAATTCCAGATCACAAGGACTCTATTGGTTTAGTTCACTCCATCTCTAGTTCTTAGACCTGGACCTGGTAGACCATAATAAATATTTGTTGAATAAATAAAGGAAGGAACATGTAATTAGGTCACTAATTACATAATAACAAAGTGCATTGCTTGAATATGTTTTTTTGCTGAAGATATTATTTTAGACATGTGGTATTCAGCAATTGTAGAAATAGTCACTAATGTCAACATTGAGTCATTCATGCTTTAAGGAGATCATGACTTTTTCTCTTGTTAAATATTTTTATTAGTGAATATAATTATACACAATAATATGGTTCATTGTGACCTCTTCATACCTGCATATAACATAATGTGTTCCATTTAACTCCACAGTATTTCCACTTTTCCTCCCCTCCTTCCTCCCCCGATCCCCTTCCTTTACCCCATTGCACTATCTTTTATTTATTTATTTTACTTGTTGTGTTATAATTATTTATAAAAGTGGGATTAATTGTGCTATATTTATGCATGCATGGAGCATAACATCCATGGACTTGGTTGATCTTCTTAGGGAACTACACAGGCCTCCCAGGATCAGGACTGAGTACGAGTGCTGAGGAAGAGAGCCCTGGTGAGGGGGACAACCTAGTGGGCCCCTTTCTCCTTGCCGGCAGAGCTGAGCCTGCCCTTGTGATCGACTGGCCCAAGGCCCTGATCAGCAGAGCTGTTTTCCAAGGCTACACCTCATCGGGTATGAATGTGCTCTTTGTGTCCTGATTTCCTAGCTGCTTCAGAAAACTCTGGATATCAGCCCTCAATTTCTTATAAAACTTTCCTTTTAGTAGATAAGTATTTGGAGCTGTTCTCCCTCTCCTACTTGTGTCTGTCCACAGCCCAGGGCTCCTTTACCCAGGCTAGAGCTACCTTCTGCTGTACACATGCGTCCCTCATCTACAGACTGACAGGGGGATGCATATCTGCATGCGCCCAAATGCCTTGGTGTCCACCTTGGTGTGGCTTTTCACAGGTTAGACGAGCCACTTGATGAACCATTTACATGGATGGTTCAAAATGAAGCTGCCCCTGCACAGAAGTTGGGTTTTTGTCCAGTTTTCCCCAGCACAGGCATGTGGATTTTTCCCTATCTGTTGGGTGACTGCCTTTTCTAGTAATAGGTATCATTAGGCCACTCCCTAAGCTCTGAATCTCACACCATTCTTCAGTGATTTCCCCCTCACTCTTCCTTAAAACATTTTGGGAAATACCATTGCAAAATTACAATGTTTAAAAACTATCCCTGTTTATATCATCAACCTTGTTTTCTAGGTCTCTCTTGATTCAAAGGTACATGGTGTGGGGGTCAACCTGTGTCTGCTGAGGAACAAACCAGCACAGTAGGACAACAGTTACACCCAGATTGAGAATTTCTCATAACTAACATCCACAAAGACTTAAAAATTACTTTGATATTCCTTAATCATACTTTATAATTTCATAAAATAGCAAAATTGAAAACTGAATATATTGTAAACACATAAAATAAAATCTTACCAGCATTCTCTTGTTTCTTGGGAAACTAGTACTGTTTCTGAGCCAGGATGAAAGATCCAACCTCAGTATTGCTTCTACTGGGCAGGAGAGACCTAGAAATAGGATTTCATCTCTTTAGAGAAGGTAGTAACAATCTAGTGGCATTTCCAAATACAACGTATTTTACTTTCATCCCTGGAGCAAGAGCAGAACTTGATGCCTAGGCTCTGCTTGACCCCTGTCCTGCAGGCCACTGACCTTTGCTTCCTTGTGGCTGCCTTCTCTTCTGTAGGTATCACAGAACCTATTGTGACAATAAAACCATACTCACTGAGCAGTGGAGAGACATATGTTCTACAAGCATCTGTGGGTATGTTATGCTGCCGGTTGGATCTGGTGTGGGGTAACCATAAGTGTTTTGGCTGTATTTTCATCTTTTCTTGGAAAGGACAATCACTTGTTACTCCTGCAGACATTTGCACCAGGGTCCTAACTCCCCTTCTCTCCAGATGTCATTTCCCTGCTCCTTTATGTTAGAGAACAAGAGCAGGAAGTGGTTGTGTTTCTGTGATTTACTCTTCCTTGAGGAATCAGGCACATGTTTAAAACAGGGTAAAGGATTGCCATTTTCCCCCAATGCTTTTGAGTCCAGGACTCACATATTCTAGGCAAACACACTATATCCCCAGCCCTTTTTATTTTATTTTGAAATAGGCTTCACCCACGTGCATATTATTTCCCAGTGCCCAACATCCCTTCCCACATATCTATGACTCATTCTGAGATCATACTTGTACGTAACTTCTTGATATTTTCCTTTTTAATAAGTACAGAGGATTCAACAATATTTATCTAGAGACAATGTCCACATTTTTGCATTCATTAAAACCCACCATGCATTTTCAATCTTGTATCATGCATTAACTCTCACATCACCTGAGGAAAAAACTTGAGGTTCACTTTCTTCTGAAACTTGGTAGATGGGGCAAAGATCCCCACAGATCTTCTGGATTCTTACTACCACTGTGAGCCCCTTCCTGCCCCCAAACTAAGCCAAGTCCCTGCTATTTTTTGAAGAGGGACAACGCCTGCTTTTGTTTAACAATCCCTCTTGTCCTTCTGCTGGGCCTCTTTCTCTTGCTTCTGAAATTTGTCTGAGTGACAAGCTTATAGCCATTCTTTTTGATAGGCCACATATATTATCAGCGCAGGAGACCCCTGGGAGCTTGTCCATGGGCTTGTTCTTGGGCTTATTCAGTGTCCCTGGATGGCAGGGAACAGTGAACTGGGGGCCCAGATGTCCTGTCTTGTTTCCTTTTCCTCTGCCCCACACTCTCCCTGACAGCTTCCCTCACCTGCTATGCTCTTCCCAACACATTGGGCCACTGTGTGACTCTGTCCTTCCCATCAGAGTTATTTTAGCTGAGATGCCCATTCTTATCCTCAGGTCTTTTTCCTAACCAGTATATAACTTGTACCCTAGGGCTACTTGCTCAAATGCCTTCTTTCATAGAGATTTTCCTGGTCAGCCAGGTGGAATTAGTCACTTTTTCCTCTTGGATTTTACCTGTATTGAAGGAGCTGCCTTAGATAATATAACACATAAACAGTGTTAACACAGCCCTTAGTATGTAGCACAGGTTCTCTAGGTCCCTATTGTGACACTTGATGATGATCATTGGCATCAAGATTTTAGAGTTTGACATGCAAATTTGCATCTTATAATTCATATCAAGAAAAATACATTGAAAGATTAAAAAGTTTATGCATGAGAGGGCTGGTAGCTCAGAGGTAGAGTGCTCCCCTAGCATGTATGAGGCACGGGGTTCGATCATCAGCACCACATAAAAATAAAATAAAGATATTTATTGGGCTGGGGATGTGGCTCAAGCAGTAACGCGCTCGCCTGGGTTCGATCCTCAGCACCACATAAAAATAAAAAATAAAGTTGTTGTGTCCAATGAAAACTGAAAAATAAAATTTAAAAATTCTCTCTCTCTCTTCTCTCTCTCTCTAAAAAAAAAAGATGTTTGTCCACCTATATCTAAAAAGCAAATTTTTTAAAAAAAGTTTATGCATGAGAATAGTCATTATAGTGTGACTAATAATAGTAGAATGTGGAAAATAAAATGTTTAATCATTGGGAACTAATAATTATATATACTGGGATAGCTACTCAACAAATCATATATATAAACTCACGCACACACACACACACATATATCTTAGCCATTTGGGGCATTATATGATGACATGGAAAATACTTATGATATTAATACAGTTAATAAAATGAGAAGATAAAATTGTATCAGTTAATAAATTCAACTTAGATGTCTTTATGTACATGGCTGAGGCTTAAAGAGAATAGGGGAATGGAACAGGTTTGATTTGTGGGGTAATGTGTCTATCAGTGTCCTCTCCCCCCAGGCTTTGGTCTCTATTGGTGGGTGTTGTGTGGTTTCTGGGTAGAGAATTGGTCTGTCTCATTTACTGTCATTGCCCAGGGTCTGGGAATGTACCTTCCCCACCTAGTAAGCACCCAGTAAATGCTTCTTCTATGAATGCATGCTTTAAGGCAATGTTTTCAAACTCCAGCTTTTGTCAGAAACTCCTAAAAGTCTGTTGAACTATAGACTGTTGCGTCTCAGTCTTTGATTCAGCAGGTCTGAGGGGAGGCTCAAGAATCTGCCTTTCAATTCCCAGATGATGCAAATGCTGCTGGTCTGGGGACTCCCTTTGAGAACCACTGCTCTAAGTTTTTTGCTATAAAAACTTCTGTTACTGTTGTTTTCCATCCTGGCTCAAAACTCTATCCCATTTTTCTCTTAGCTTCAAAGCAAGACTTAATAGGTAAAGCCCAGCTGTACTTGACAATCAACCCAGCTCCACAGGACATGGCCTGTCATGTGCAACCCCACCATGGTCTGGAGGCCCACACCATCTTCAGTGTGTTCTGCATGTCAGGAAAACCGGTAGGTGGCAGCCCCTTTTCTGTACTGAGACCAAAGGTAATAGCAGCTTTTGGAAGTTATGGTGAGCTCTGCATGGCATGCAGTAGGAACTAAGGCCTCTTCTTCCCATCTGTGAAGGACTTGGGCCTGCAGTCAAATGTTGGAAAGTTGCTCAAGCATGAACGGGACCTTCCCTCTCTCTAATGGAAACAAGGTCAGAATGGCCCCCAGTTTTGAAGGAGAGACAGACTTTCTTACTAGGAAACACAGTGGGATACTCAGGGCCTCTACCATATGATCAGAGCAGGAGTCCCCATTACTGCTGTGCACACAAGCAGGCAGTGAGTAACTCAGAGGAATCTGACCCTGACCCTGGGGCATGTCTCTAATTTGGATTTCATTTTACTCTCCTGATTTGGGCAATGGAGAAGGTCACTATGGATATTTTTATTTCTTTTATTTTCTTTTTTTATAGAAAGTTTGTGATGATTAGAGAGGTGTGTGAAGGAACAAATGCTTCATTCTGTGACTGGGTTAGCAAGCTTCCTCTTGAGATTGGGTTGCAGGCTACAACATTGCAATCTTGGTACCATCCTCCCTGTCCTCTTGCTCTATACACTGCCTGTCTCTGCCCTTTTGTTCTGCCTCTGTCACTTCTCAAGAAGCCCACACATGTCCTTAGGAGAGACAAGGCCCAGGTCTTTCCTCAAAGTCTAGTTCCAAAGGCCTCTGCTCCTAACAGAGTGTGTGTCCCATCTCCTTTCTCTGTTGTCACTCATGTTTACATTGTGCCTAGCTACTGCAGGGGGCAGCAGGATCCTCTTCACCTAGAGGAACCCTTGTCAGTCTGATTCATGAATGACAGGACCCTCCAGGCTGGAGAGCTAGCAGACCCTGAGTGAGGAATCTTGTTTTATTCCTGCTTTGGGTCCTTTGGAAGAGAGCTCTGTAGGGAAGAATTGTGCAAGTGGAACCAGGAGAGCTCTGCACATTGTTGTGCATTGTTGTGTAGCCGGAGACCGTGTTTGACTCTCATTTATTCTGTTTCTGGCTGCAGCATATGTCCTTGGGTGCAATGAAGGTTGCAGATGTATATTTATAGATGATGCCATTCAAATGAAGTATCCTATATTTTTTCTCCCCATAGGACTTTCATTATGAATTTAGTTACCAGATAGGAAACACCTCCAAACACACCCTGTACTATGGGAGAGACACCCAGTATTATTTTGCATTGCCAGCTGGTGAGCCCTCAGACAATTACAAAGGTACGTAACAGTGTGAGTTGGATCACTAAGCTCCAGACATTTTCTCCTGATTTACAAAAGCTAAAAATTTTTTAAAACTATGTGTGTAGAAATTAAAATTATTTATTCACTTTGATGAGTTTAATGTTTTTTAGTTTAGTTTGATTACCTACCTTTTGGTGCAGGAAGAACATTAGAATAAATATCAGTAAATACACATACACACACATACACACACCACACATTTTAAATTTTAAATGACATATAATATAGATAATAAAATGCCAAAGAATTTTTATATGAATTAAATAATTAACACCAATCTATCTCTTATTTACTAATGAAATATGGCGTATCTAGTGAATCTTGCATTTAGTATAAGTGAAACCAAATCAAGGTATTCAGACCAAAAAAATAATGTGAGATAAAGTATTAAAATATAAAGTAATGTTGAGTTAGCAAATTAATTATAGATCCTTTGTTAGTTCACTTCTCACTACTATCACAAATATCTGAGATGAATCAAATTAAAAAGAGGAAAAGTTTATTTGGGCACACAGTTTTGGAGGTTTCAGTCTATAATTCATTGACACCATTGCCTTGTGCCTGTGGCAGCACGGTGTATCATGGCAGGAGCAAGTGATGTGGAGGCTCATTTACTTCAAGTCTGGGTATGAAAGAGGAAGGAGTGCCCTACGAGGGCACACCCCCAATGACAGGAAGACTTTCCTCTAGGCCCCACTTCTTAAAGGTTCTACCACCTCTGAGTAGCACCAAGCAAGGGACTAAGCCTTGAATGCATGAACTTTTGTGATGAATTTCATATATAAACTCTAATCCCCAAGCAAAATGAATCCCATAGTGTGGGAAACTTTCTACTCCTATCCCTGCCCCTGTAGTCCTGTCCATTTCTAAATCAGCACTTGGGAATGGACCTCACCTGAACATATAAGGGATTCCATCATTTAACACAGTACCTGGGTAGGCACAACCCAGTGTGGTTAAATTAGACTCTTCAGGGTGACTGCTATTTTTTGTTTGTTTGTTTGTTTGTTTGTTTTTTAACTTCTGGACAGTTGCTCTGTGCAGGCAAGGTTGAGAGTCACTAATCTAGAAGATTCTTTGAACTGAGTTGATATGACTATTTCAGCCCCAGTTCTGAACTAGGTCATGTCCCTGATGTATTGAAATCTCACCTCTCCTTTGAGTCTAGTGAAAGTACTTTCTCTGTGAAATCTTGCCTGTCACCTCCAATTAAAACACTTGTACTTTCTTCTAGATTCTAGTCAAATTGAGCAAAACTTTCCTGAGCATGGTGCAGTTGTGAGCTTTCTAATCATGTTCCACTTTGTATGTGATGCCTTTGTACTTCCATCTGAGCTTGAGGTTTGGTGAAGTCAAGCAACAAAAGGCTAGCACAGTAGATGTTGACTGAATGGTTGATTTTGACTTTTATGAGCTTGCCCTGATAAATCCTAAAATGCTAAAATTGCATTCAACTTCTGTCCTTTGGAAAGTATTCTCATGATGGATGCTCATCCCAAGCTCCCCCAAGTCTCAGTAGAGGGTCCGAAGCCAGGGATATATGCTAAGAGCTTGGTCAGAGCAGAATGTGTCCTTCAGGCAAGGAGGCCCAACCTCCATAGGCAACCTTCTTATACGAAGACCTGGCATGTCCCTCCCCTGAGAGCTGCATGTGGGGTATGAGGGGCCTCAGTTCACAAGGCCTGCCACAGACTATAGAGCTAGGCAGATATCCAAACAGAAGAACTTGGAGCAGGGCCTGAGCACCATGTTGACAATTTTTTTAGAATCAGATTTCAGGTCACAGTCCCGGAGTAGTGTCAGGGTTAGTGATGGTACTCAGGTCCTTCACAAGTGTGATTTTGCTTCTAATGTTCATGATTATCATAATCAATTCCTATGAATATCTGCATTCAATATTAGATACATAATTAGATACAAAATTAGATACATAATGCATACCTTATTATGTTCCATCTTTTGCACAAATTAATATGGCACCTACTAAGTGTGTAAAATTGAACAATCTTACCCAAAGCCTACTTTTTTCTCTCATATTCTGTATCATGATTCGTAGGACCAACATTTTATGCAGTGGGGGATTTATAATATTGGAGCTTTGCCAGGCACTATAGTGCACACTTATAATCCCAGTAGCTCAGGAGGCTGAGACAGAAGGATCACAAGTTCAAAGCCAGCCTCAGCAACTTAGGGAAACCCTAAACACTCAGTGAGACCCTGTCTCTAAATAAAATACACACAAAAAAAGGCTGAGGATATGGTTGAGTGGTTAAGTGCCCCCCTGAGTTCAATCCTTGGTACCAAAAGAACCCAAAAAACAAAATTGGAGCTTCTAGGGGCCCACACAATATTTACTGACTCAGAAATATTACTGGGGAAAAGGCAGAACCTAGAATTTACTTGTAGACAAGCTTTCCAGTGATGCAGGTGTCTGGGACCACATCTTGAGAAGAAATGACCTCTAAAATTAAGTTCCCAAACCCTTAGCATTGGGATTCAAATTGAAGATGTTATGAAGACACCAGGGTGCATAGATCAACACACCATGTATCTTCCTGTATAAGTCACACATCTGCACCTATGACCCTCACCACTTGATAATCACCCATACTCTGAGCTCATCTGCAGGTCTCCTCAGCATACCTGGAGCTGTTACCACATGGAGGGATTCCTAAGACCCAGCAGAGCCATTTCCTGCCACATTCCTATGTCTTCATGCAAACTTCCTTCAGTTAGACTTTGTCTTCACCTTTCTTCTAGACCTGTTAGATCTATACACGTCATTTAGGAACTGATTAAAATATTACCCCAGCCCTTGATGGACCATCAGGGAGACTATATTTCACTCTGTGAGCTCCCCGTGGCCCTGGCATTCACCCTGTTTCAGCACTCCTCACGTTGCTAGTGGACAGGATTACTTGTAGGGCACAGACAATCCTTTTTGGCCATAACCTCCTATTCTGCCACAGGCTCACCTTTTGTGGGTCAAATGAGTGAATGGGGGAGCACGTGAATAAATGAGTCATTCCCTGACACCCACAGCATACAATGGTGCCTTCTGCCTACCAACTCTCCGTGACACTGCTTGTCTTCCCTGTCTGATTGGCACTCAGTGCCTTGTACTGATGCTCAGATTTTTATGTTAGGGTGTGAGATCTTCCCAGAAGTGGAGAACCTGAAGTACCACTCCCATGCCTTGCCTTATTGTAGTAGCCCTTGAAGCAACCGTCATCATTCCATCATATGGATCTGCTCAAAGGAGATTCTATTTGCTGGTTTGTTGGTAACCACAGTGTAAGCACCTTGAGAGGGCAAACAGCCTGCAATTTCCTCTCATCCTGCGCTTTGCCAGGACTAAGCTCATCCACCTGGTGCTACTCAGTTGCTGTCAGGGTGTGAAGAGGCATCTCTGTAGCCACCTATTCAGGATGACCCTCCTGTCATGTTCTCTCATAGTCATGGTTTCTACTGAGATCACAGACAGCAAAGGCTCCAAGGCACTGGCGTGCTCTGTGGCGGTGACCGTGCTGCCCCGTTTCCATGGGAAAGACTGCCTCAGCGAGGACCTGTGAGTACCACACCAGACATCCGAAGCAGTGTCCATATTTCCTCAGGGGGCAGCAGCAAGGCAGAGTGGCAGGAACTGATTTCAGGATGGGCAAAAGGAGAAGTTGGGGTTCTGTCACTATAGTCCTGTTGACTCACCTTTCTGTGGCATCTGTGCCAGTGCTTCAGAACCCATGACACACTTTTTGCTTTCTTTAGAACTGTTTTATGAAGGTATCATTTACCTGTTATATAGTTTACTCACTAAAGGTGTGCGATTCCTTGGTTCTTAGTACTCTTACAGAATTGTACAATCTTCAGCACAATCTAGTTTTAGACAATTTTCATGACCATAAAATGTATTTATTATAATGTGCTCATTAGTTGCCACTCCTGTACCCACACCACTATCTTTAGTTTCCTCCTCCCAGCCCCAGCCCCAGCCCCAAGTAGTCACTAATTTTACATCATGTCTACCAATTTGCCTATTCTTGGAATTTCAATGGGATGATATGAAATGTGATTTTTAATAACTGTTTTTCTTCATGAATGTTTCTGAGTTTTATCTATATGTATCATATATTAGTACCTCGTTCCTTTTTATTTTTGAATATTTTTTATTGTATAGATATATCACATTTTGGTTTTTTAATTTTTAAATTAATGGACATGTGGGTTTTTTTCCCACACTTTGGTTCTATAACAAACCATTCTGTTCTAGGCATTCTTGTGTGAGATTTTGTGTGCAGGGATGCTGTCAGTTCTCTTGAGTAGGTAACTGGAAGTGGAACTACTGGTAACTCTGATAACCATGCATAACTTCTGGTAACACTGACAACCATGATAAATCTAGTTTTAGCATTTGGAATAATGCCAAAATGTTTTCCAAAATGGCTGTACCCTTTTGTATTCCCACCAACACTGGATGAGGGTACATCTTAACAAACACTGGTTGTTGTCTGCTTTTTGATTATGGCTATTCTAATGAGTGTCATTGAAGTTTGGATTTTCATTTCCCTATGCTCTATGATGCTGAGCATCTTTTCATGTGCTTTGGGTATCTTCCTTCTAGATATTTATTCATCCACTTTGCCCATTTTTTATTTGAATTATTTTTGTTCTTATGATTAATTTATGGGAGTTTTTTTGTAGGCATTGCATACAAATTCCTTTAAAGATATGATCTACAAATGTATTCTCTCAGTCTCTTTTCATTTCACTTTCTTGATTATCCATTGAAGAATAAAAGTTTTTGAAGACCCTACTTAATTTTGAGTAGCCCAATTTAATTATCTTCTCTTTTATTCCTTGTGTTTTTTATGTCAATCTATGAAATTACTGCCTAGTGAAATAATACAAAGACTTACATCTGTATTTTTTCTTAAGAGTTTTTGTATTTTTAGGTCTTACATTTAAGTTTATGATCCACTTAGAGTAAATTTGTGTGTGTATGTGTATATATGTGTGTGTGAGTTTGTGTGTGTGTGTGTGTGTGTGTGTGTGTATAGGGCTCCACCTGCATTCTTTAGCATATGAATATCCAAACTTCTAAGCACAGGTTGTTGAAAACTGTTTCCTCCACAGAATTGTCTTTGGCTTTCTGTCAAAAATCAACACCACATGTTGGGGTTTATTTCTGGATTCTTCATTCTGTTCAATTTTCTAGATATCTCTTTTACACCAATGCTATGCTTTTTGATTACTGTAGTTTTGTAGTAAACTACAGTAACTGAGAAGCCTGAACCAAATTTTGTTATTTCTTCATAAGATTTGGCTGTCCCAAATTCCTTGAAGTTCCACATGACTTTTTAGAAGCATCTTGTTAGTTTCTGCAGAAGCAAAACAGAGCATAGGTGCCACAGTGACTGGTGTTGGCCACCCTCTCTCTTGCTCCAACTTAGCCTGCCCTTCCTAATACTGTGGGCTAGGGCTACCAACACCTATGAAGGTGTTAAAAAACAAAACAAAGCAAAAGCTAACTAGGATTTTCATAGGGATTTTCTAGAATATATAGATCAGTTTCAGAAGTATCACTATCTTAACATTAAGTCTTCCAATTCATGGACATGGGATGTCTCCTATTTTTTAGACCTTTAATTTCTTTCAACAATGTTTCATAGTTTTCAGTAGGCACATCTTGTATTTCTTTTTTTTTTTTAGTTTATTTATGAGTATTTCACTATTATTGATGTCATTATAAGTGGAATTATTTTCTTAGTTACATTTTTGAATTTTTATTGTAGTAGATAGATAAATAATTGATTTTGCATATTGATCATGTATCCATATAACCCTGCTAAGTATATTTATTTCAGTAGTTTTTTTAGCACTTCCTCTGGGGCTTTCCATATATAAGATTGTTTCATCTATAAATAGAGACTGCAACACTGTGATCTTTCCAGTCTGATGCCTTTTATTCCTTTTTTATTGCCTGATCAGTTCTTGCTAGAACCTCCAGTTTAATGATTAGGGGGAAGTATTTAGTGTTTCACCTTGTGTTTAGTATGGTGTTAGCTATTAGTTTTTCGTAGGTGTTTGTTATTGGGTTGAAGACGTTCCCATCTATTTCTAGCTTATTGGGCGTTTTTAATCATGAAAGTATGTTGAATTTTTTCAAATGCTCTTGCTAGGCCTATTGATGTGATTATATGGTTTTGGTCCTTTATTCTAATTAACAAGTTGATAAGGTTTGGATACTTGGGTTCATGCTGACACTTTATTTCCAGTGTAACAGTATCAAGGTTGGGGGGCGGGTAGGGGGCTTTGGCCATCATGAATGGGATTAGTACCCTTTTAAAAGGGCTGGAATGACCCATCTAGGCCCTTGTTGCCCTTGCATCTTCCACATGAGAATGCAGTGTTCTCGCTCTCTTGAGGAAGCAACAGGGTGCCATCTTGGAAGCAGAGAGCATCCCTTACCAGACACTCATCCTGTCAGTACACTGATTCTGAACTTCCCAATCTCCAGAACTGTGAGAAATAAATTTCTGTTCTTCCTATTTCATCCAGTTTCAAGACTTTTGGGGGTTGGGGCTGGGGCTCAGTGGCAGAGCGCTTGCCTTACACATGTGAGGCATTGGGTTCGATCCTCAGCACCACATTAAAAAAATAAAGAAAGAAAGATTTGTGTCCATCTATAACTAAAAAATATTTTTAAAAAAGAATTTTGTCATAACTTCCCAAACAGATAAGACACAAGTTATTTATATATGATCATTTTTCACATGTTGAATCACTTTTACATTTCAGGAATATATCCCATTGGTCCTAGCATATAATTCTCTTTCTGTGTGGGTGGATTTGGTTTTGCTAATATTATACTTCGGAGTTTTGTGTCTACATTCATAAGCATTATTGGCTGGTAGTTTTCTTTTAGCTTTGCCTTTGTCTGGTTTTAGTGTCAGGGTAATACTGCCCTCAGTCTATTTACAAGTGTTCTTTTGTATTATTTGGAACATTTTGTGAGGATGAGTATCAATTCTTCTGTGAAAATTTGATAAAAATTATGAGTGAAATTATCTACATCTGTATTTTCTTTTTGGAAAGTTTTAAAATTACTAATGTAGTCTCATAGTTTTAGTCATTTGTTTCTTTCTAGAAATTTTCTCATCTATATTCTGTAATCTTTTGGTACACAGGATTTTTTAAAAGAATAGAATTGCATTGTAGTCCTTTTTATCTCTATATGGTCAGTAGTGATATTCATTTTATTCATTATTTTAATAATTTCATTATTTTCATTTTGTGTCTTTGTCAGTCTAGCTAAAGATTTGTCAGCTTGGATGATCTTTTCAAAGAACTACTTAGGGTTTCTGATTTTTTTTTTTCAATTTCATTCATTCCTGAACTAATCTTTAACATTCCTTTTCTTCTGCTTGTCTGGGTTTAGTTTGCTTTTCTTTTTCTTGTTCTCTATATAGGCTAATTATTTGATATCTTCTTTCAGACATTTGTAGCTATAAATTTCACCCCAAGCACTACTTTAACTGTATCCCAGTTACTTTCCTTCATTAATTTCAAAGTGTTTTGTCATTTTCCTTTCTGCTGCTTCTTGAACCATTGGTTCTTTATGAATACGTCATTTAATTTTCACATATTCATGAATTTGCCAAATTTCTTTTTGTCTTTGATTTTTAATTTAATTCCATCATGGTCAGAGGATGTACTTTGTATCATTACAATAATTTAAATTTTATTGAGTTTTTTAATGGCCTACATATATGGTATATTCCCCCAAAAAATCCTTTACTTGAGAAGAATGTGTATTCCACTTTTGGGGGTTAAAATGTTCTGTGGATATCTGTTTGGCCTATTTCCTTCATGTTATTGTTTTACTCTTACAAAGCTTTATTGATTTTCTTCCTTGTTTTTCTACCCATTATTGACAGTATAATTTATTTTTTTTTCCTTTCCCTGTAGGTCTGTTGGTTTTTGCTTCATGTGTACAGCATCTGTTGTTAGGTCCCTATATATTTATAATTTCTTTTATCTTCCTAATATTTTATCATTGGGAAATGTTCTTTATCACTAATACTTGTTTTTGTCTTAATTTATTTTTAGTCTGATATAAATATAACCTTTCTAGGTGCCTTATAGTATCTATTTGTACTTATGTCTTTTTCAGTCTACATTTATCCTTTAGTTGGATCTTATTTTCATAGCCAGTCTTTTATTCCCTATCTTTTGTCTGGATTGTGTGACACATTCACAGTTTTTTGCTATTATTAGAATCATTGAATGTAGAGTGTACTATTTTACTTTTGTTTTCTACATGTCCCATGATTATTTTGTTCCTCTCTTCTTCCTTTATCACCTCCTTTTTTCTTAAAAGAATATTTTGTATTTTACCATTTTAATTCCCTTAATGATTTTTTACAAATATTTGTTGTAGATGGACACAATACCTTTATTTTATTAATTAATTGCTATGTGGTGCTGAGGATCGAACCCAGTGCCTCATACATGCTAAGCAAGCCATGTGCTCTACCACTAAGCCACAACCCCAGCCCTCCCTTAATGATTTTTAAGTATATTTTTCAGATACTTGTTTTGTTGTTGCTCTAGAGCTTACAATTTACATCTTAGCTTATTAGAAACTTCTACAAACTAATATTAAATTGCTTCCAGTTAGATATAGAAACTTACACCTATATAGCTCCATTTTCTCTTATTTTTGTGAAGTTATTATTATGTAAACAACTTATATTATGCTATAATACAATGTTATGATTATTCTTTTATATAATCTATTTTTAGAGAAACTAGAAAAGAAAAAAGGGTACAATCTATTTTAATAAGTGTTTTTAAAGTATATTAATCTTCTTATTAGTTGTCTTCGAGTATCCCTGTAAGTTCAAGTTGCCATTTAGTGTCACTTCACTATTCAATATAGCTTCATCCCCACCCCCATTCTTAATGTTGTTATTGTTATTTTACCTTTCTCTGCATTATGGGCCCAACAATAACATTTTATAGATATTATCTCATGCAATGGCTTTTAAAATAAGTTAAGAATGAAAAATGTGATTTATGGATTTAATGATGTCCAGCATTTTCATGAGTCTGTTCATTTTTTTCCAACTGTTTTATTTCTGTGGCTCATGGTCTTTATTGTTCTATTCTCAAATTTGCAAATTCGTTCTTTTCTCAAATCTACTTTAGAAGCTTTCTAGTGAATTTTTCATTTTGATTATTGTACATGCAACTCTAAAATTTCCATTTGGTTCTTTCTATATCATAAATGTATTGTTTTATCTCTTTATTAATGTTCTCTGTTTAATTATTTATTGTTATGCCTTTCTTTAATTTTTTTGGGGGGGTGGGTACCAAGGATTGAACTCAGGGGCACTCGACCACTGAATCACATCCCCTGCCCTATTTTATATTTTATTTAGAGACAGGGTGTCACTGAGTTGCTTAGGGCTTTACTAAATTGCTGAAGCAGGCTTTGGACTCATGATCCTCCTGCCTGGCTCTTTAATTTTTAAAATATGGTCTTCTTTAGTTCTTTGAACATATTTATAAAAGCTGCTTTGAAGTCTTTGCTAAGTCCAACTTTCAGGTCTTCCCAAAGACAATTTCTATTGTTTGCTTATCTTTCATGTGTTTTGGCTATACTTTAAGTGTCTTTGGGTATCTCATAATTTTTCATTGAGAATTGGACATTTTAGATAAATATATCATGATCACTGTGGGTATTGACCCATTCCTTTTCCCTGGGCTTGTTTTTGTTTGTTTGGCTTGTTTATTGACTTAGCAAGACTACTACTGTAAAGTGTATTTCCCTCTTTGTGTAGCCCATGGTGTTTCTGCTCAGATTTATTTGTGTGTTTTTATCTTCAGTCTGGATTCCTACAGTCTTGGTCTCCATTAATTAGTCATTGCTCCATTGGTCAAATGTGTGCTTAAGCATACATGCTAAGTGTTCACACAACATTTTTTAATAAATTGGAATTTCTATTTTACACATTTGGAAACTGAGGCTCATTTATTCCGGAAAATGTTGCTCTGAAAGTGATACAACAAAGAAATTGCAGGGCAAGGGCTGGAACTGACCATTGACCTTGTACACTAGACTATTTTCAGGGCTTCGTGTTGTCTTTCCAAGTGCAAATAACTGAAATATACCATTTTTAAATAAGTAAACTAATACCCAGTTGTTGAAATCTGAAGTCATTAACTTGTAATTTTACCGGAAACCACAAGTACAGTATGCATATCCACTCTGTCATGCATCTGAGCATTAATTACCAACTCTGAATTATTAGGATGCTGTGAAACTTCATCCAGCTCTAGCCTCTGTGGTATCTCTGGACTACATTTCCTCACCTGACATGATGTTTCCATATCAGTACCTGTGTGACTTCTTGAGCCCTTTTCAGTTCAAACCAAAGGGTTTTATGGGAGTTTGACAGGATGTCTTGTCTCTGCACAGACCAATTCTCCTTTGTGTCATACTCTTTCTTTCGGGAATCACCCAAGACTAAATTCCATTCCACCCTTAGTCGGCAAGATGAATAGTTTTACAATGTGTCTGATCATGATAGCTCTGTGTTTTCTTCAGATATAATTCCAGTCTGAAAAACCTGTCCACCCTCCAGCTGATGGGGAGTTACATGGAAATGAAGAACTATGTCACCATGATCACTGGGATCCTGAGTCGTTTGGTTAAGGAGAACAGAAATGCATCCTGTGGTCAATGGTCACAAATACAGGATGCATTGATTTCTTCTGTGTGCAAATTAGCTTTTGCAGATCAGGTATGGCCTAGAGCATGGTGAGGGCAGGGTCTGTAAACTTGTGTCAGGTAGTGGGTTCATGGCTGTTTGACTCCCAGGAAGTAGTCATACTGATGAAACACAAGCAAGAAAGGTGACCAGATAGGCAGCCAGCTTGGCTCCCATACATGGGTTTGGTCTCTCTTGCCTTCTGACATGTCTTATAAATGAACACTGCAAGTCAATCATCATAATAGATAATTCCTCTAGTGTAAGTTAAAATTCTGTAAATCCAATCTTATTTTATCTTGTTGACTATAATATCCTTGATAGTCATTATTTTATGCAACTTCTTATGAAATGATGATATAATCAAAGGTTACCATCTTTGTTCACATTTCTGCACCTCTGTCTTATAATGGGCACTAGAGATCATTCACATCTACAAAAAAACTATCTTGTTTCATTGTAAGATTATTCACTTGAACTACTGTTTTTCTTCCTTTATCATTCTCTCTGAACTTTTCTCAAAGTTTCAATTAGTTCTGTCCCTTAATTTCCTTCTCTTTCATGTCAGTTTCTTGATGGGATATGTGAGACTGGCCAGAGGTACATAGGAAGAGGCATGTTAGACCGAAAAGAAAACTCAAACCGGGGTCCTGGTCTTACTGGAGAAGGGCTGGCTCCAAGTCATCTTAGTTGAAAGCATAAATTCTGCTCTACTTTTACATAAGCAGGCTGGAACTGAACTAATACACTAATTTCTTCTTTGTTTGTTTGTTGTTTATTTGATTTTGCTGCAGGAAGAAATAATTCATTCTGTTCTTATGTTGAGAAATCTTATAAGCTTCTCTAATAAGGTAAGTGCTATTTCTTTCCATGTTTTATTTTCCTGTTTTTTTTTTTTTTTGCATAATTATGAGGCCATGATCATTTTTTTTAATGTTTTGGTACTGGAGATTGAACCCAGGAATGCTGTACTGCTCAGATACATCCCCAACTTTTATTTTTTAGTTTGAGTGACCACAAACTTGCAATCCTCCTGCCTCAGCCTTCTGAGCCTCTGATATTGCCAGCCTGTGCCATGTTGCCCCGCCATTATCAGTTCTTGAAAAATATTCTGTTTAGAGTTATATTTTGACACTTAGATTAGAAACATGACTTTCTCCTAAGAATTCATGTGAATGGGATTGTGCATCTCCAATCATAGCTGAATAATTTCTTTATTTCTATAGAAATTTGGAAACCCAAAGTAGAAATGATTAAACATAAGAGCTATCGATGCTAGGAATCATTTGGTGAAAGAGACATTATTTATTATTAATGCATGTTTTGGATTTTCCTATCTCCCTGCATTCTTTTTTTTCTTCTTCAAATCTCTGATGCTCTGCTGTGCCCCCTTCAACAGATGTTCTAATTCTGCCACACTTTAGAGAGCCCATGGGAGTCTCTCATTGCCACCAGTCTGCAAGATGGGTGAAACCACACCCACCTCCCACACTCAGTCACCATAGCAATGATTCCCTACTTCCAGCAAGCATCCGTCCCTCATTTTATGTTCAGAACCCCATTCAGGACCACCTCATAGTGCCTTATTTCAGCCTGGATGACAAATGCTTCTTATGGTCAAGCTGAGTGCCTACTGCTGGTGGTCCAGTCTGAGTGCCTACTGCTGGCGGTCCTGCCTCCCTCCCATTTTGCATTTTTGGGATTTTTCACCTTGGGTTAAGCTTTCCCTTTGTGGCTTTTTTCCATTTCTCCCTCTGCCAAATGATACCCAACATGCTTAATAATCTTTTTTTTTTTTAATCACTGTCTTCTATCTGGTCCCTCATTTCTATGCACCTCTTTATAGCACAGCATTCAGAAAGTGAGTTCTGAGCTTGCTGTGGCCTATACTAGCTGTCAGTCCGGCATTTTTAAACTGTCAAATTTGAGCTTCCATCTTCTTATCAACACTTTAGTGCTTTCATCAAAGTCATTGGGGATCCTCTCGCTGCTGCCAAGTTCACTAGACACTTCTCCTCACCATCCTCTCCCTCAGAGGACATTCTGTGGGGGTCTTGCCTTTCATTGGGACTCACTTCTCTTGGTTTCATGACACATGTTTTCTTGATTGGCCACAATTGCCACCAGTCTGCAAGATGGGTGAAATCACACCCACCTCCCACACTCAGTCACCATAGCAATGATTCCCTACCTCCAGCAAGCATCCATCCCTCGTTTTATGTTTAGAACATAGTAGGATGACCCTATCCCCTTCCCTACCCATCCATGTTGATGTGGTCAGTGGTTCAGGGTTCTGGCTCAGGACTACTAGACTTCTCTGTCCACATCTTCTGTCTGGGTGCTCTCATCTAGTCCTTTAACCCTAGATGGAGATGATAATTACTCCACATCTTATGTCTTCTAACCACACTTTCTCAAGTGCTCCAGTCCCATGCATATAACTACCCACCTCACATTTCCATGAAGGAAAACACTGTGCTCATGCCCAACATGACAAGGTGGAGCTCCCCTGATCCACTCCTCACCTCACCCTCCCCAGCTCTGGACAAGGTAGCACTATACACCTGAACTGCTGTGAAAACCCCAGTGTCACCTCAGTATCCTCCCTTTTCCTCATCCAATAACTTACAATTGAGTCTTGTTAGTTCCTCTTCAAAAACATAGCCAGACTCTTCCTGCCTCTTCCATCTCTACTGCCCACCTCTCTAACCTAAGGTCAGAGCCTGTTTCCCCCAGGCTAAGCATCTCTCTCACTGTTCTCTCTGCCTCCTCTCTTGCCACCTTATAACGCATGTCATAGAGCAGCCAGAGGATCATTGTGCAAGCCTGACCCAGTTGATGCCACTCTCCTGCTGAACACTCTTCCAAGGCTTCTCATAGCACGTTGGCTCCTCCTTACCTGTCACTTCTCCTCTCATGTTCTTTCTGTTCTCCCACGATCCTGGAGACTTGTTCTGGCTCAGAGTCAGGATGGTAATCCCTCTTACTGCCATGCCGACTCCTTTGTTCATCAAATAGCTGAAACCTTTCCTTTGACTCTCAGCTCAAATATAACTTCCTCAAGAGGGTCATCCTTCACCTTCTTTTCTTGTTACTTGGGTTATCTCCTTCAGTATTTTTACAGTCAACATCCATCTCACTTCTTTATTACCCCTCTTTCCTCACTGGAAAACTTCCATTGTAAACTCCACAATGGCAGGAACACAGTTGTGAAATGAATAAATACATAAGTCATAATAGGATGGCCCTATCCCCTTCCCTACCCCTCTTGCTCATCTCATCCTCCTCATCTTAAATTGCTCTACTACAAGCATCACCATTCTGGGAAGGAAGGAAGGCTGGGTTCCCTTGGCAAAGACCCTCCTCTCTTCTGACAGGCTGTCTTCCTAAGGCATATCTGGCCTGTCTCCTGTTTACTGTAAAATAGATGGTTCCTGGTCCTCTGAGGATAAAATTTAATCCTTATTCATATCGTTTAAGTACTCTACCTGGTTTCAACTCACTCTGCACCTCATATTCAATATCTCCTGATGTAACCACCTTTCACCTTCAATCTCTCTTGATTTTCCTAATGTCCTTGAAATAATACGTTTTTTCTTAACACAGAAAATGTTATTTCCTATCCTGGGAAATTATTACTTTCTCTTGAAGGCTAGATTCAAATGCCACAATCTCCACGAAATCTTCAGAGCTCCAAAAGCAGGTTTCATTTTATTCTAATAAATTTTGCACATGACTTTATTATAGCACTGTAACACTTGATTTGTAATATTTATTTATTTATTTATTTTGGTACATCTGTCTTCTGACTTGACTAAGCCTCCTAAGACACAAACTGAATTAGTTGAAGTAATGTCAGCTGCTATAACAAATAACCCTGACATCTCAGTAACAGAATACATAGAAGTTTATTCACTCACACATGTTCAGTGTTCAATAGGTATTCAGTACGGGTCTTTCCCATGAGGACTCAGTGGCTCCAGCTCTTTTCCTCTTGTGCTCCAAATATCCCAATATTTCCCCAGTCAAGGAAATAGAAAGTGGAGAAGGTCTACCATTTGTGGATAATGATGTCCTGGAAGTGGGAATGCCTCATTCCATTCACATTCTTTTGGTGAGCAATGGTCACACAGCCTCACCTGAACTCCAGGAACCTGGGACATGGAATTACTGTCCAGCTATGACCCTGCACAGAGCTCACAAGGATGAATCTGGTGGAGATCAAACCACCTCTGCCACAATCCCTCTCTCTTATGTCTCTGAACACTACAGTCTGTTGCAAGCAGTTTTGGGCTTTAAGTGATAAATAAAATTGAACATGATTGACATTTCTAAAGTAACTATTTCTGAAATTTTTGGTTTAAAAGTGTGAAGTGTGAAATTGGGCATAATATGTTCTCTGAGGCATTTTTTGAATTTCTGATGAAAGATGATTTATATTTTAAGTCCTATTTTGATGGTAAGTAACCTTTTGGGTGGGGCCCTTATTAAGTAGTTTAAATATACTTCCAAACTACTTTAATTTTATTGTTGTTAGGAGAATTTGATTTTAAAAGGTATTTTTAAGCTGCATTTTAGTTAAATAAGTATGACTATAAAAAAATAGAATGGTAATTTCATATCATTGTACACACATTTGTTTATCAACTTCTGGGAGCTGCTAAGGAACAAAAAAGAAAAGATATAGTCCTTATCTTTTAGGCATTAATGAACGAAATTAAACGTGGAAACATATACTTCAATAAATATGCTGAGTCCCATGCATAAGATAACCACAGAATTCTGCAGAAATAGGTAACGGTGAAGCTAACTCCAGTACACATTTAGAGTTGGTTTCAAAATATAAGTAGGAAAAACTGAACCAGCTTTTAGAGAGTTCTTACCTATCAGCAAAACATGTTAAAGTATTCATGGGTAAACATATGTGAGATTTACTTTTAAATATTTGTAAAAAAAAAAAAACTGAGTAAGGAATAAAAGAAAAAATATTGCCAGTGAAGGATAATTTTTGAAGGTGGGTGACAGGTGACTGTATGACTCTACTATTCATTCTCTCAACCTTTGTGTATATTTGAAAATGGTCCATAGTCACAGTTTAGAAAGAGAGAGACAGAAAAGTGGGATTTTGCTGGGTAACAAGAGGTTAAAAGTATTTCAGATAGGAGGACTTATATATTTCATAAGGTGCTAGGAGAAAGCCTTCATTATTTGGGAGAAATTAAGAGTTTAGCATGACTCAACATAGAACATATGTGGGTGATAGGAAAAGAGAAGAGGTTGGGACCATTTTGTGAAAGGATTTGTGAGCGAATTTTAGGGTTCAACCTAAGTAACATTTTAAAGCATAAAGGTCTGTAAAGAACAATTTGATTTCCTTGGTCATTTTGTGTGTGAAAAACTAAATGACAGAGAACAAACTGTTATTAAGGAAGCTGACCAGTAGAGATGAAATGTGAACTTAATTCAGTTCTTCTGACCCCAAGTTCAATAATTTTAATTCTCGATAATAATGAAAGAGGCAGAAGCATATGTATCATATGCTTGGAAAGATTTTATTTACATCTCTTCTTTCCATGAAGTTAAGCTTTTTGAGTGCAATGCACATTCTCAAGTACACGCGGTCACTCCTTGCTCAAGGACAGCTCTTGGGAAGGTTTGTGGTTGACAGACAACTCAGGCTAGAACTTATCCTTCTCATCTCTGGAGTCTGGGAAGCCTCTGCACAGGAAAAATTTAGAAATGAGAACTATCTACAAGAAGAAGGAATGAAGATTATCTCAGATGTATTACTGGTAAGTTAGATTTATTTTTCCTCCACTTATCTGCTGTCATATATAACAAATTAGAATAAATTAAAAAAAAGAAAGAATGCTAAGAGAAACATAATGGGTTGGTATGTTATCAGTAGAAGAATTTAATTATTTAGAAATTAAAAATGCAAATGTTTTAATTTAACAATAAAACATTTTATAATGTCAAAACCAAACAACAATAGAAACAGCTTCTGGGCTGAGAATGTAGCTCACTGGTAGGGCACCAACAAACAACAACAGTGAAGCAGCTGTTCCTCTCTCCCAGATTTAACCTGCATTTGTAATTGCTTCTCACAATTGAAAGTAGAATCGTTTTCTGAAGAATTGTGATTACAATTCTAGGTGGTAGATTGATGTTTGGAAAAAATTTTTTTTAAAGGCGATGATTGCATTTTTTTAAACTTTATTTTATTTATTTATTTTTTTGTGGTACTGAGGATCAAATCCATTGCCTCGAAATGCTAGGCAAGCGCTCTACCGCTGAGCCACAATACCAGTCCAAATTTTTTATTTTGAATTTTAAGAGTTTTGTGGTACTTCTGTAATGTTCCCAATGTTTGATAATTTACATTTGGAATACTTGGAAAGATTTTGGACTTAGAAACATCATTCCTTGGGGTACCTTCAATTTTTTTGAGGAATGATATGAAGTAATGCAAACAATTATATGCATTAACTTAAAAAGTAGCCCTGCTGATCTATAACTGCTTTTAAAAATTCCACAGTTCATTTCACTTATTTCTGCCTCAGGAGCTTTGGAAAATTATAAAAGACAGTTTGTTTCATCTTATGAAATGGCCAGTGCTTTCAGGAAGGAGTGAGTTAGTGAATGGGGCTTTGGTCTCTCTTCTCCTACAATCTATCATCCCTGTCACCCAGGTCTCCTTGTTTATGTAATTGGTAACTGCTGGAATTACTTAGGAAATTATACAGTAAATAAATACTCTACTTGAATCTGCTAATAATTGTCATTACACATTAGCATGCTGTGTCACAGCTTTTTATCACTGTGACCAAAATACCTGGCAAGAACAACATAAGGGAGGAAAAGTTTATTTGGGGCTCATGTTTCAGAGGTTTAGTCCCTGGCCATCTGACTCTATTGCTTTGGACCTGAGTGAGGCAGAACATCATGCGGAAGGGCATGGCAGAGGAAAGCTGCTCAGCTCATAGCAGCAGAGAAGCAGAAAGAGAGGAACAAAATATACTCTGAGGTCATATCCCCAGTGGCCCATTTCCTCCAGCCTCATCCCACCTGCCTACAGTTTCCACCCAGTAGTTCATTCAAATTATTAATCCAGTTGATGTATTAATCAACTGATATGATTACAGCTCTCATAATCCAATCTTCACTGGATTATTGCTATGTTGTATAACACATGAGCTCTTTGGGGAACACTTGTAGATCCAAACCACAACACATATTTAAAAATGGGTAATAAGTCCTAGGGCCCTATGGTCAGGTTAACTATCAAGTCTCCAGGTTTTAAAAATGATCATGTAATATCATACAGATAATGAAAAGTTTTAACTATTAAAAATAAATTTATAATTAAAAAAAAATGATCATGTATAGCTGGGTGCAGTGGCACATGCCTGTAATCCCAAAAAAAATGAGCATGGTATTAAAACATTTTTGATGGGCTAGGATCCTCTAAGAGCACAGAAATCATTTAAAGAATGAATAAAATTCACAAAAAGATTTGCTTAAACAAAAGAAATCAGTTTGTCTTTTATTATTTGCCATTTTAATTCTTGAGCAAATATTTGCTCAGGCAAATGAACCCAATCTACCTTTAGACAGGTTATCCTGGAATGACTTTTCACCTCTCCCTGGTCTGCATTCAGGTCAGTTTGCTTATTTGCATGCAAGTGTGTGACTCTCTGTGTTTCAGGGCTATCTTTCCTTGAGCCATCAGAATCATCTCATTGTGAATGCTGGGCAGATGGAGTTCCAGACCCTTCTTCATCACAACCTTCGGCGCTCCATCCAGAACCTGGGCTCTGTCCAGGTGTACTTACCTGGTGACCTGACAGGGCACAGTTCTGCTCAAGAGGGAATGCAGAGCCTGTGCTACATAAGCCAGCTCATGTTCTTCAAGAAAAGCCCTTATCCAGAAGCAGGAGCACCTGGGAAGGTACAGGACAGTGGCAAACTGCCATTGTTAATGGTCATTTTAAATTTTCAGTGATGGCTTCCATAGTAAAGAGACTCGATGAGCACATTTGCACCTGTTTAGTTCCTAAAGCGGATACCTAGAACATGTTGTTGACTCTACTCCTCTTGGAAGAACAGTTTCTTGAGAAAAAATCTTAGCAAAACTTGGTGTTCCCGATAGCTGGGTAATTGGACCCATTCAGAATTCCCTGTGAGGTTTTAAATCTATTGTCAGAGAATACGAGATTCCAGTAGGTTAGAACATGTAGTACAGTGATTATGAGTTGGACAGGGTTGCTTGTTCCTAAAATCAAATGCACATTTCCACTAGAATGAAATCTGAGGAGGGGCTGCCCAGGGTCTATCAGAACTTTCTTTTCTTTTTCTCTCACCTGAGAGGCACGTCTGGCCTAAACCCAATTAAGATAGGGAAGTCAGGAGGATTGTTCCAGCCACCTGGAAATTTTGTGAATATTCACATCAACTTCTGCATTTAGAAACCCAGTGAGTTCTCCTGAAAGAGAGATAATGTTCACTGTGTTCTCTCTGTTCTCAGCCTCCTGACCCTGCTCCAATACTTGGCTCATTTGAGCATCCAGTGAAATCTAATGAATGAATGTACTAATTATGATGTGCATCTTATTTTCATTAAAAAATCCTTTTTTTAAAGCATTTGTTTCTTTTTTTAGGGAACTGTAAATAGCTAATCAGCATGTGAAAATAATTCATACTAGCAAGAAATAAAGAAATAGCAATTAAAATGATGTTTTAACTTACAAAAATGCAATTATCTAAAAATACTACTTGTGGAAATGTCATGGGAGAACTAAGATGTTGGTTGGTATAAGCTTTGTGAAAGTGCTAGGCACCAGGAGTTTCAAAATACCCAGACCCTGTTAACAGTTGTAGAAATTCACACCAAGGAAATAAGGAAAGATTTCAAAGCAAGATGGGTTTTTTGTTTGTTTGTTTGTTTATTCAAAACATTATTTATGATGACCCAAAAAGATAGGTACCTAACTGTTCACTGGTCATTTAAGTGAATTGTAATTTATAAATAACTAATTAAAATTATGTCCATAAGGGAATTTTATGAACTTTAGATTTCATGCAAAAAATATGGAAGACTGAATTTCTTTTTTCTGCCCAGTGCGTACTCCATGCATGGAAAAGGTTTGAAATGCATCACCCCCAAAGTTACCTTCTCTGAGCAATGGGCAATCTGTTCTTCACTCTTTTAAATCCCTTTGTGCCTTCCTGATTATCTCTAGTAAGCAGATATGTCTTTTTTGTATGAACACTTCAAAAATTAAAAATACTTTAAAACAAATAATTTTAATAAGGGTAACATAAATGAAGCATTAAGCTCATCCCCAATCCTGCCATTCTAACTGGTAAAACTAGTTTGGGTTTCTATATGATTCTCTAATATCTGGCACATAATTTTGCAGTACTGTGATGGTACCATCACTATACCTTGGTTTCCTTCTTTTCTTGTTTGAGTCAACTCTGGGCTTTGTTTTCTGAGATGGTCTTTGCTTCCTAAGGTTGACGAAGTCGTGGGGCTCACCCTCTACAGCTGCTCCAGCAGGAGACCCATCCACAGAGGAAGGCTGAACACACCTGTAACTGTGGAGTTTGGGGAGGAAGACAGTCCAGTAAGGAGAGCCTTGCCCCATGCCTGCTTCAGTTAGACTGTGCAGGCTAGTTTTTCATGCACTCACTTTTCCACATACAACTTTCATTTAATTTGTTTTCTTCTCAATGACAGGATAATAAGAGAAATAAAACAAAGTTTACATTGCTTCGAGAAAAGGTGAATTTCCATCAGTTCACTGGGATATCCCAAAAACCCCAGGAGTCTCTACAGATACGAATCGAGTTTTCTAAGCCCATTACCAGAGCGTTTCCTGTCATGCTGCTAGTAAGGTGTGTTGAGGGTGACTGCAACAGTGACCATGAGATCCTGGCAAGACACACTGACCTTAAGAATGTTTTGTGAATTTGCAGGGAAATGGATGGCACTAGAGCAGATTATGCTTAGTGAAGCTAGCCAATCCCTAAAAAACAAATACCAAATGTCTTCTTTGATATAATGAGAGCAACTAAGAACAGAGCAGGGAGGAAGAGCAGGAAGAAAAGATTAACATTAAACAGAGACATGAGGTGGGAGGCAAAGGGAGAGAAAAGGGAAATTGCATGGTAATGGAGGGAGACCCTCATTGTTATACAAAATTACATATAAGAGGTTGTGAGGGGAATGGGAAAATAAACAAGGAGAGAAATGAATTACAGTAGATGGGGTAGAGAGAGAAGATGGGAGGGGAGGGGAGGGGGCATAGTTGAGGATAGGAAAGGTAGCAGAATACAACAGTTACTAATAGGGCATTATGTAAAAATGTGGATGTGTAACCGATGTGATTCTGCAATCTGTATTTGGGGTAAAATTGGGAGTTCATAACCAACTTGAATCTAATGCATGAAATATGATATGTCAAGAGCTTTGTAATGTTTTGAACAACCAATAAAAAAAAATCAGAAAGATTAAAAAAAAAAAAAACATTAAATTAGATTAAAAAACACATTTATGAGGATCTTGTTACATCCTAGGTTCTTGGATAAATGCTCACATTTCAAGTAAAATGGACATTTTCACTTTTAAGATATTCTTTTTAATCAAGTGAGAAAATCAACAAAATGTCAGTAATCATTTTAGAATCTATAAATGTATGTATTTATGCATTTATATAACTTTTGCTGTTATATATTATATTTAGTCATATTGCTTATTAATGCATAAAGAAAATTAAAAAAAAGAATGTTTTGTGAAAGTGAATTAAAATGTTTTCAAAGCAATGAAGAGGCTCATTGTCTAAAGAAATTATTTTACTATTTAGACAATAAGCTTCCACATTTTATTTTCCAGGTTACCTTCCTGCCTACTAATTGGTGTGAGAGGAGATATGGGCCAGAATTCTACGTTCAACTCTTTGTTGTTTTCCTTCCTTCCTTCCTTCTTCTTTCCTTCTCTTCCTTTCTTTCTTTTTCCTGCTCCTCTTCTTCCTCCTCTTCCTTCTCCCCTCCTCCTCCTCCTCCTCCTCCTCCTTCTTCCTTTCTCTCAATAAGGAGAAAATGTCCTCAAATATATATAGATATATCTAAGGAGGCTTCATAGATTATCTTTCTTAGTAATATTTAGTCTGTGAAATTGGATGGACATTTTAATCACTAAATTGCATAAGAAAGATAAATAAATGAACATTAAAACATTCTTTGGAATCTTACTTTGAAATTGCTAATGGAAGCCTTGAGTTTGTGGGGTGATGCTATTCCACTGTACCTGTTGATTGAGAGAGTAGCTTGACTGAACCAAAGGGGACTCTCAAGCAAGGGCTGTCTCTTAGGCAGACACTGCCTGCTAGCCCTGGCACAGTGCCATCCTGCCCACTGACTTAACCCTCATTCTGCCAAATGAGCTAAGCCATCAAATGTCTGAAATTGTCTATTTCCTCAAAGAGTTCAAGTTTTAACTTCTTCAACACACAGAAGAAGTAAATTTTCAGTTCCTAGAAAATTCTTAGTCTGACCACTTTGTGCTTATTATCCTTTATCTGCCAGTTTCCAGCTCTGCCAACAGGTGCAGTGGAGCATTAAGACAGCTGTGTATGTGCTGCAGAGCCCTCCTAACATGGAGCCAGCACTGTATGTTTTATTCCTATATACTGTGCTGGTTATTCTTGTTTTTCTCTTTTACTGAAGTTTTTTGGTTTTGTGTTCTATTTTTTTTTTAATGAAATGAAGGATGAAAGTGTCATCCATTTATTAAAAGGCCAACTGGTGCCATGGGATTAGCACATCAGATCGTTTTAGTCCATGCTACTTCTTGTGGCAAGAAGGTTGTTTTTCACAAATTATGTGACTAAAGAGTTGAAAGAGGAAAAAAAAAAACTAGACTTCACTACTTCATTTCTATTTTCTAGATTCTCCAAGAAACCTACTCCCTCTGATTTTCTTGTGAAACGAATCTACTCCTGGGATGAGAAAATTGTCCAAATTTACATACCTGCTGTTCCACAGAAAGGTCAGTGGACAAGATGCTTTTTAATTTTCAATTCTCTTCAGGTGGTGAGAACACAGGCTACAACCTGAGTTTGCAGAGCAGTGTTTTTCTTTCTCATAACATAAACATCCTCATGACACAACCATCCAAGTCATCTCTTTGCCTGCTAATAAATAAACCATTTCTCAATACTCTTGTGAAAACTATACCATAACCAAGTACAGTCCTTGACACTGGGGGACACATGCATTGTTCACAGGACCCTGCCCACCTTTCCACTTCTCCCTGCCTCAAGCTATGACTCCTCCTTCTTCTCAGGGTCCTGGGTTTGTTTCACTGGTAGCTGTCTGCAGTTCCTTCCATTTTCTTTCCTTGGACTCCCCTCCATGGAGCTGCTTTGACCCTAGCAGTTCATTATCCTCCTTTGCCCAAATGCCTTGACTTTGCTTTCTAGCCTGCTGCCCCTTGCGTCCCAGCTAGACATCAGGGACCATGACTTCAGAGGTGAGGCTTCTCCGTATGTCACATAAAAGCAGAGAGCAGGCTCTCTCTGATGATCCTTGCAGAATATTGATCTTGGGGCTCACCCCTTCACAGCAATCTGACTCGTTGCTCAGAATCCTGAGCTCCAGTGTCTTCCCCTGAAGATCAAGAAACTGGAGCTCTATGTGCTTAAGTGGACCACACAGGACTAATAGACACATACTCTAGACCCATGTCCAGCATGCCATGTGGACCTTGAAGGAGAAGTTGGCTTCTGACTCTCAGGTGAATGGGTGAATCCTTTCATCTCTAAATTTTTCCATACTGAGATATAGTTAATTTCCTCTGAGACCCAGTCACTTCACTTCTCTTTTGAAATGAATTGTATTGCTAATCAGATTCAAATTAAATAAGCCAAACTCAGAAAGTCAAAGGTTGAAAGTTTTCTCTTAGATGCAGAAGCTAGAGAGAAGTCAGGAATTAAAAAGAGAGAGGTGGTCCCATGAAAATGGAAGGGAGAACAGTGGAAGAGAGGGAGGGGATCCAGGAGGAGGGAGAAGGGAAGAAGGATGGGAAAGGGAAGAAATTTCAGGATGAAATTTTTTAAATTGTGCAGTGTGCATGCATGAATATATCACAATGAATGCCACATTTATGCACCAATTTAAAAAATAAATAGAAGGAAGACCAATAAAGTAGAGTAAGGAAAGCAGTGGAGGGGAAAAAGAAGGAAATTGAAAGGAAGCAAATAATGACACACACATGTTTGAATATGTCAAAATGAACCCCACTGCTATTAACTATAAAGTATGAATAAAAACTTTTAAATTCTGAATTTTTAAACTTCATGGCAATTTTTAAAATTTTACATTTCACATTTCTTTTCTACAGTATTTTTTTTGTAAAAAAAAATTTCAAACTGACAAAAAAGTTTTAAAAAGTAAAACAAACACCTATATTATTCCATCTGGATTTACCACCCAGCTCACATTTTGCTACACAGAATTTATCCTGGTGTACAACTGAATGTGCATGAATGTGTGGGGGTGTGCATGCTTGTGTGCTTTGGGGTGAGCTCTTAGGAGAGAGAGAGAGGAGGAGGGGGAGGAGGAGGGAGAGGAGGAGGATCCAGGGGAAAGAAAATTTCAGACTCATGACATTCCACTTTGAAATACTTTGACAGATATCTCATTAAAAAAAGGGGCTCGCCTACTGAACTCAGTACCATTATAACCCCAAACAATCAACATTAACTTAATATCTACCCTGTAGCCCCTAGTTAAAATTTTGAAATTTTCCCCAATGTCTTTAAACCTTTATATTTCTTATTCAGAATTAAGTCAGACTTCATGAGTGCATTTCATTGCCATATTTTCATAGTCCCTTTAAAATCTAGAACACTTCCCCCATTTTTAAAAATAACAATGACTTTTTAAATTATTCCAGCTCAGTCATTTCTTTTGGTGTCTCACATTCTAAAATTGTATGATATTTTATGATTAAATTCAGTTTGTAGGTGTTTGGCACATACTCATCAGGTGATGCCCAACATGGTAGTTAGCTTGAGGAGAGCCCCTCCAGTCTAACAGGCCACTTTTCCCTGCATAGTCATGTGAGGTGAAGCTCCTGAGCCAGCTGAGTGTTCTCTTGCCTGCAGCCTCTCACCCCATGGTTTTAAGTTAGCACTGGTGATATACAGTGGTCCACAGAATGATGACTTTCTAGCTCCACCATAAATCATGTGGCATTCTTCTGTAAAGGAGCACTTCTCTCTCCCTCACCCTTGCTCTTTTGTCTCTTGGTGCATAGAGTGTCTCAAAAATGTGTTCTGTTCATTTCCATCATTTTTCTTTCTGATGCTCAACTTGGTCAAAGAGAGTTCCTTCATAATACTTCTTGAATTTTTTTGACAGGGTAAACCTTCGAGTGCTTGCTTGCTTCCTGGGGTGCAAGATGCCCTGCCTTGTCATGCACTTGACCTGCCCTTCCTTGGAATCAGCTCTTTGTCGTGGGAACATTTAGAATTCCAGACCTGGGCACCAAATGTGCTCATTACTATCAGGGTGTCATTGATTTAATAACTCTGTGTGTGTGTGTGTGTGTGTGTGTGTGTGTGATGAGCTCATGCTAATGTCTTCAATTCAAATCCAACATCCTGGGTTCCTTCTTACTTTCTTCCATTGCACCTTTTTATCCCCATTTTCAAAGATATCTCTAGTATTGCCCAAAAAGCACACAGTCAAAATTATTCATATTAATTATTTTCTCTGTGTAGAGTTTTGACATCAATATTATGTAAGATTAAGTCCACTTTTTTTCTTCATGTATTTAATATCACCCACTCTGCTTGTTCTGAAGTGTCCCTTATGTTTGAATTAGTTCATCTTTTTCCCCCCAGTGTTTCAGTTTGGAAAACTGAGCATTCTTTCTTATACTCTCTCATATTTTGCTTTCTTGATTAAATTAGATATTTAGAAGTCACTTCATCAGTTTTCATCAATCAGTTTTTTCAGTCTTCTGTGTGTATGTAAGAAGTTTGTGCATATAGTATATTGAATCTGGGGGAGGGGTGTATCCTCAAGTTAATTCCTAGGTATGTTTTTTCTGGGTCAAAAAGAAAATTCATTTATGGCTATATAAGTATTCCAAATTGCCCTTCTGCAATGAATGAAAATACCTGCTTTCCCACAGCTTTGTCAAGAAAAGATATTTTTGATCTATTGAATTTCATCAGATAAGTGAAAATGATAGTTTTAATATGAATTTTATATGAACTGAGCATTTTTCATATGTTTAAAGACAGTCACCAACTTTTTCATGTAAACTTTCATATATACCTATTTTTCTATTGAGCTTGCTTTTTCTTGTTTTTAAGAGCTCTATCTACGTTAGGATGATTTGTGATGTTCCAAGTCCCTCCTGAGACCCTGAACAAACCAGTCACCTCATCTTAGTGGGGATGGAGAGAGTTCAGTGTCCTCAATTGCCATTCAAACCACTTTCTATTTCTCCAAGGCTGTCAGCCAACCTGTCAAACATCAGCATATTGGAGTCTGCATCCTTTTCTATAATATAGATTGCTTGTATTTTCTTACAGCTCACCATTGATTTATTTTACTTTGTTTTGAAAAAAAAATTAATAGTGAAATTTACCAGCATTTTCTAGTATTAAATTGTTAGAAACTAATTTCCTATGTTCAGATTCTAGAAGAAATCATTCATGTGCTATTTTAGTGTTTGTACAGTTTTTTTTCCATTTGTACCTCTGATCAATTGGTGCTTATTATTGTGAGTGAGATGAGGAATGGACCTAATTCCATATTTATACGAATAGTTCATATCTAATGAATGATGACCAGGTATCAGGTTTCTACCTGGTCATCATGCCCACCCCTCCCCGTGGTGACTGCCCTGGTATTTGTTAAAAGTATTAGGAGAAAATTTTAAATAAGTGAAAGATTAAAATGCTTTTTCTTTTTTTTTTTATTGTTGGTTGTTCAAAACATTACATAGTTCTTGATATATCATCTTTCACACTTTGCTTCAAGTGGGTTATGAACTCCCATTTTTAGCCCATATACAGATTGCAGAATCACATCAATTACACATCCATTGATTTACATATTGCCATACTAGTGACTGTCATGTTCTGCTACCTTTCCTATCCTCTACTATCCCCCCTCCCCTCCCCTCCCCACCCCTCTTCTCTCTCTACCCCCTCTACATACCTTCATTTCTCCCCCTTGTATTATTTTTCTCTTTCCCCTCATTTCCTCTTGTATGTTCTTTTGTATAACCCTGAGGGTCTCCTTCCATTTCCATGCAATTTCCCTTTTCTCTCCCTTTCCCTCCCACCTCTCATCTCTGTTTAATGTTAATCTTCTTCTCATGCTCTTTGTCCCTACTCTGTTCTTAGTTACTCTCCTTATATCAAAGAAGACATTTGGCATTTGTTTTTTAGGGATTGGCTATAAAATGCTTTTTCTTTTAAACATAAAAAATTATCTAAAAATGATAGCTTAAAACCAAATGGGTCACTAGGTGCAGTGGTGCACACTTGTAATCCTAGTAGCTTACAAGGCTGAGGCACAAGGATGGCAAGTTCAAGACCAGCATTAGCAACTTAGCAAGGCACCAAGCAACTTAGTAAGTCCCTGTCTCAAAATTAAAAAAAAAAAAAAAAAGTTTAAAAGGGCTGGGGATGTGGCTCTGTGGTTAAGTGCCCCTGGGTTCAATCCCCTGTACCAAAAACCAAACAAACACCCAAAACACCACACAAATCACTGTACTGTCCTTAAACAAGAAGGATGCAGACTGATATGCTGATGTTTGACAGGTTGGCTGACAGGCTAGGGAGAAATACAAAGTGGCTTGAATGACAACTGAAGACTGAACTCTCCCCATCCCCACTAAGATGAGGTGACTGGTTTGTTCAGGGTCTCAGGAACATCACAAGCCCTAGAAATACTGTTTTCCTTCCTAGCACTTTGCCATAGTCAAATGAAAGTTTGGGTGGGTGTAATTCACCATTTAAATGCTCTGGGAACAAAAAAGGCCAGAATTTAATGTCCCCTTTCAATCTCTGTCCATCTCTTTCTACTTTCCCCATCTGCCAGTTCCTCTGTCTGGAATGGAGTATGCCTTTTGCAAACTTCAGACTGTACTTACTTTCTATTTGCTTTTTCTCTGTGTAGGTGCCAATGTGGGATATTTATCCTTGTTAGACGCTGACTATGACAGAAGACCTCCAAACAAATACTTTGCTAAGGCAGTGAACTACACAGTACATTTCCAGTGGATCCAATGCCTGTTTTGGGATGAGAGAGAGTGGAAATCTGAAAGTTTCTCTCCACAACCAGGAACTTCTCCAGAAAAAGTTAATTGCAGGTATGAGCATACTGTTGGGAAAGAGTCCGGGAATTTTAGCAAGTGACTACATTGGCTTCTTCATTTGGTCTGGGCCCTGGAATCTCTTCTGAATCATGTCCTCCCATGAATAGCTGGAAAAGTCTTGGATGGCACAACCCTAACAGGATGAGCCTTTTATACCCATTCTCATGTCAGTCTTGATTCTTCCATGCTGTCCTGTGGCTCTGAGGGGAGGGGACTGATTTCTACCTGGTCATCATGCCCACCCCTCCCAGTGATGACTGCAGTGCAGTAGCTATTTATTGAGCTTCTTTCTACTCAGAAAAGATTCAATAGAGAAGAGGCAACAGGGGTCCAGTTTTATTATCATGGAAATGCTGGCACCCCTTGGTTGTGCAGTTTGAAGTCTGACAGACAGGGTCCTCTGCTCTCACTGCCCCTCTGTCCCTCCTCTTCCTGTGCAGAGGAGTCCTCACCCCACACCCCCAGGCCTGGCTCAAGGATGAACATCATGAGACTCTGCACAGACATGAGCTCCCTTCTCAGGAATTTCTGGGTATCTGAATCATGTTACTAAATTGGAAATTCTTTATTTTCTAGCCACAAAATTTACAATTGTATGAGAAGCTTAGTCCTTTCATTTTGGTTGTCCTTACCCTCTTGTTAAGGTAGATATCAACAATAATTTAGGCATATTTAGAAGTAGAAATAGTTGTTTCCTCCTTAGGAAAAATTAAACCATAAGAAACTGTATATTATGGTTGCCAGTTAGGAGGCAAATATGTCCTGATTAGAGCATCTCGATGACATTCATCTTTGTTTTTGACTTTATTGTGTTGCACCCTTTTGTGGTTGTGCCATTTGAATTTTCAGGTAATGGCCCAATATTCTGCTTTTATATTTAATTATAAATTAATGCCATCATTCATTCTCTATGACATACCAGTCCCTGCTAGGTACTTTTACAGAAATGAGTAACACATGGAAATTGCTCACAAGTTAGTGAAGATGAGATAGGTTTTATTTTTAAAGATAATATACCATAGTGAGCTTCATCTTTATGTATATCTGTAATACACTGATTTTTTTGAAAAAGCTATATATAAATATAAGACTGATAGAAGAAAGGGAACCAAGAAAGGAAGGAGGAGAAGGAAAGAAATACTGGGAACTAAATTAGAGCAAATTAAATTCCATGTTTGTATAATTATGTCAAAATGAACCCAGATATTATATATTACTATAATGCACTAATAAAAAGTTGTTTTTTTTTTTTTTTTAAAGATAGTACTCATGGTGGTGGTCATGGTAGGAGCTGCCAATGATAGGGCCTTTGCAATGCCGAGAACAGGTGCTCAGGCAAAGGTTCACAGCATGTGCTGAGTTGCCGAGAGCAGCCCACAGAAGGGCTTAAACTGAGAGTCTCATGGGGAAGCTGGGCTGAGGCAGGTCCTTCCATTGAGTCTGCAACACATTCAGGACAGTCTCCACAGGCGCTGTATCCAGTTCCCGGATGTGAGGATGTCTGGTACTTCAGAGGAGTCTCGGTCCAAAAAATAATTTCAAACTTACGTTGGGATACACACTGTGAACTGGGCACACATGGTAGCAGTATGTTTAGGACCTGTTTTCTTTTTCACTCTGGTTAGCTTACCACTACCCTGTGAACAGCTGCTCCTGTTACACATTTGGTATCATAATGTGCATTTTCCTCCTAGCTATGACCGCCTCACAGTGTTCTCTGTCTTGAGAAGAAAGCTGAAGGCTGGTTTTGAAGTGAGCGACATATCCAGTTTACAGCAGTAAGTTCCATCTTCTAAATCAAGATTTCATTTTGTTGTTGCCACTGCCCACTCAGCATGCTCATGTATAATTAAGCAGATGCTTGAAATCTGTGTTTTAAATGTATTTATTTTTGCATTACAATTCTTAATACACCACTATACCATAATTTATCATATCTCTGATTATATATAAAGTATGTTGACACCAAATTCACATCTTCATACATGTATTTTGTATAATGATGAGGGTCTTATTTTGTTTTTTGGATTATGAATATTAGGAGATAATTGCCTTTAAATACTATATCCACTGTCTGTCTTAGCTTTTTCACTGCTGTGACTAAAAGATCGAATCAGAATGACTTTAGGGGAGGAAAAGTTCATTTGGGGACTCGCGGTTTCAGAGGTCTCAGTCCATAGACAGCTGGCTGCATTCCTCTGGATTCCAGGCAAAGCAGGACATCATGGTGAAAGAGTATGGCAGAGGGAAGTGGCTCACATGATGATCAGAAAGCAGAGAGAGACACTCCACTTGCCAGATACAAAATACATACCCCAAAGCCACACCCCCAGTGCTCTATCTCCTCCAGCCTCACCCCACCTGTCTTCAGTTACCACTCAATGCCACCAGTGATTAATTCACTGATTGGGTTAAGGCTATCCTAACCCAATCCTTTCTCTGCTAAACCTTCTTTCATTGTTTCACACATGAGCTTTTGGCAGACACCTCACATCCAAACCATAACACTGTCTATACTTACATTCACTGACAAAAGAGATTTATAAACATAAGAGAGTCAACAATTTTTTTTTTAATTTTTAGGTTTAGATTTAGTTCAGTGTGAATTTGGATAATTATAATTGATTATGTTAATATCTATGGTAATGTCACCTCTAGATTTGTCTGACCTGGTTTATACTTATAGTCACAGCTTAATTGTTAATAGCTCTCTTGGTCTCTGAGATGTATCCATTTTAAACAGTAAGTTTAAAATTCACCCTATTTTAACAGCCACTGTTTCATATGAAACAACTTATATTTAGAGTCTGAAACAGGGGTACATCAAGGGCAAGCTTCTGTAGGCAGCAACCTTCTCTGTCTCATTTGTCAAGCTGACCCATGTTTAATACAGAGCTTGTCCCTGGTAGGTGTTCCGTAAACATTTGCTGAGTGAATATTAAGGGCAGATCTGCACTTCCTTGGGTGTTGAGTTTTTGAGTTTTCCTACCTTGATATTCTTATAATAGGAAACTCTGCCTTTATTACTTAATCAACCATAGTATTTCCTGGACTAGTTGGTGAATAAGAGAATTTGTAAATAAGACATTAATTACTAATGTAATTCTTGCTGACCTCAGAGAAGGGTCACCAGTCGTCCAGTGATCAGGGCTCTAAGTGCAGCAGCTCAGCCCTGGTTTCCACAGCACTGACACCATTGGGGAGGGGGCTATAAACAAAGAGGTTTGGGGAAGCTCAGGGGATGTCCAGATAGAAGACAACACCTGAAGTCACACAGAGGCAGTAGCATCAGGGACATCTGGCCAGAATCCAGGAGGTTCCAAGCCACAGCTCAGGTATAGTAAGGACAAACTAGAGCCAGGTGGTTGTGAGCTGATTGGGAATGGCTTAGAACAAGCTTGTCCTGGTCTTGCTGGGAAAGAAGGAAGAAGAGTCCAGGCAAGACCAGGAGCACAGCCCAATCCTAGATATAGTCAAAGAGCAGTGAGGCAGGGGACATAGCACAGAGTCCCCAAGCAGTATGGACTCCAGGCTCTACCTCTGAAATCTTATCAAAGATTTCATAAGGCTGAGCCCAGCCAGAATACCTTATTAGGTTAAGGGCCCAACACAGGGGACTCTATATGGATACCATTCTGTGGGTCTGCAGGGGCTAGAGGATCTCTCTCCCCAAGCCAGGATTGGTGTGTGACCTACAGGTGGGGAGTAAGCAGTGCCACCCACAGACAGGTACAGGTGGGATGTAGATAAGTCTACCTGTTTGGGTCGCTGCGTCTGAAAGACCTGACCAGAACAACTGTAGAGGAGGAAAGGTTTATCTGAGAAAGGTTTATCTGAGAGCTCACAGTTTCAAAGGTCTCAGTCCATAGACAGCCAGCTCCATTTCTTGGGGCTTGAAGTGAGGCAGAACATCATGGTGGAAGAGTAGGGAAAAGGGAAGCTTCTCACATGGTGATTAGTAAGCAGAGAGGGAAAGTCTTTCAGATTCAAATATATACCCCATAGCCACGCCCCCAATGAACCACTTCCTCCAGCTACACCCCACCTGCATCCTGTCACTATCCAGTTAATACCATCTGGAATTAATTCACTGATTAGGTTAAGGCTAGAATCCAATCATTTCTCCTCCAAACCTTTTGCATTGTTTCACATGTGAGCTTTTGCAGACATCACATCTAAACCATAACACTACCTGAAACCCCTCCAACATCTCCTAGCCTTGCCCTGGAGGCAGAAGAGGGAAGGGGGAAGAATGTTGCATCTGCATGTTTGAAGTACACATCTGCATGCCTTAATCTTCATAATAGCATGAGATTGGCATTTTTCTCATTTCCCGATAAAAGTTCCTCAGGCCCAGCGGGTGCAGCTTCCCACTTCAAAGGCAGGTTCAGCACAGGCCTCCTTGTTCTGGAGTTCATGCCATGGTAGCCCTGTATTCAGAAGCTCCTTGCACTGGGGCTCCAGGACATGTTTGAAAACAACCTGCAGACCATCGTGTGGTGTGTGTGTGTGTGTGTGTGTGATCAGTTTTCTAAGTGTCTGTTTCCATGTGTAATTCTCATTATATCTTTTCCTTTTTTTTTTACTCACAGTCACCCACAAAACCTACTTCCCAGTATTTTTATTGTGATTTTTATGATTCTTTATGGATTTTTGGTTACTAAAAGCAGATGTATAGATAATCATGAAAAAAAGAAAATGGGATACATTTTTCTGCAAGAATATACCCCACCTGGCCACAAGTTGTATGCTGTTGTCATTGACACTGGCTTCAGGGCACCAGCTCGATTTACCTCAAAGGTAACATAAGGCCCTGGGGATACTTCGGTGGAGTCTAAGTGTGTAGCCTTCAATGCACGAGAAGTGATGATTTGATGATTTAACTGAACTGTCAATCACCTGTCACCACCAGCCCCATCCAATTCCCTCTGCCCTCCTGCAACCTGTACATGTGTAAGAGCAGAAGGTGGGACCCCCCTCCACCTTCTCCCAGCTCAAATCCCTTCCCCTCTTTCTGCCTTTACCATGGAAAACAGATCAAAGAGATTGGTTCTGTCTCTGGATTAGTCTCTGTGACTTTGAGAGACAACTCAGTTCTTCTGAGTTGACAGGAATCTATTACCCACCACCCAGATATAGATCTAGGGAGAAAGGAATGAGAATTGATCAGACAAACCTTGGAGATAGGTGGGGACATAGCTGGATTGGAAGCTTGGGGTTAAAAAGAGTCTTCCCAAGCAGATGGAGGATGATATAGAAGGGTGGGGAGTGAGAGGAAATGGTAGGAGGCTGAAGGAAGTGATGCAGCATAGGGGAGCATCCATGCCAAGTGGGCAGTGAGAGCAAGGTCTGAGAGATGAACACCATGAGCAGAACCACAAGTCACAGAGACAAGAAGGGAGGTTCCATCTGCATTCAAAATTCACTCCCATTTCCTGAGGGAACTATGGCTGCTTTATGGAAACCTGTAGGACTGGGGGCACTGAGAAGAAAATGGGTCAATGAATGTTAGAAAAGAGATGTGTGTGATGGGGATGTCATGGTACAGCTAGGCACGAAATCTAACATGATCTCCACTCACTACAAGCCCTAGCCTATCAACTATATATTTATAGTAATTCATAAACAGTGAACATCACATAGAAGGAAATTTTTTTTTAATTTTTTTATTGTTGGTTGTTCAAAACATTACATAGTTCTTGATATGTCATATTTCACACTTTGATTCAAGTGGGTTATGAGCTCCCATTTTTACTCCATATACAGATTGCAGAATCACATCAGTTACACATCCATTGATTTACATATTGCCATACTAGTGTCTGTTGTGTTCTGCTGCCTTTCCTATCCTCTACTATCCCCCCTCCCCTCCCCTCCCCTCTTCTCTCTCTGCCCCCTCTACTGACATTCATTTGTCCCCCTTGTATTATTTTTCCCTTTCCCCTCACTTCCTCTTGTATGTACTTTTGTATAACTCTGAGGGTCTCCTTCCATTTCCATGCAATTTCCCTTCTCTCTCCCTTTCCCTCCCACCTCTCATCCCTGTTTAATGCTAATCTTCTTCTCATGCACATAGAAGGAAATTCTCTTAACTAAATTCTCTTAACTAGGACTACTTACAGCAGTCCTAGTATCTTTGAATTAAAAAAAATATATATCTTTCTTAAGTGAAAGATTGATAAACACAGTACTCATTCCTGGGTAGCAATACACCAGTGAGGAACAACAAGCCCAGCCCCACTGGAAACAGGCCTCCCCAGGGTGCATCTGCAGAGGTGGAAGCTCCTGCCACCTGACCCTGGTGCCACTCCAGGGCCTAGCAGGCCTCCCCCAGTGTTCCTGCCAAGCCAAAGGAAGGAAGATGCTGCCCCCACCATGTGTTCTCTTACCCTGATAAAGATAAATGCCCCAGTAAATCCCAGGTGGGAACTAACATTTCTAGATCAAGGATGTGAAAAACCATCCAGCCACCCCAGGCTCCATTTCCAGGCTCTAATTCCAGGCCCTAATCCCTGTCCTCCAATCCTCCCTAGTCTAGGAGGACTGTGCAGGCCATGAGGGCACCCCCTTCTCCCCTCAGCTCCATGCTGGGGCCTGTAGCTGTCCCACAGCTTGTCAGGTGGTTTCCAGAAGGATAGAAAGTAGGGAAGATCAGGGAAGCCCTACCCCAGGGGTGCTGGCATCTTCTATGAAACATCTGGAGCTCTCACCCTGTGTCTGTGTTTTAAGGTTTTCATTGTTTTATGTGGTGAAAATGGACTTTCAGAAACCAAAGAGATCTGCAGTCCTGAGAAGACCCTGTTTGAAAGGAATTCCAGACACACGTTTATCCTGAGGTATTTAGAGATATTTCAACCACACGATTTGGAAAAGATAGGCCAATCAGAATCAGAGTGTTCTCATCATAAGCCCAAAAAAGCAGCATAGAGAACATTGGGAACATCAGTGTACATAAAATTTTATGAAATATTTTTATAGTTTATTATTTGGAGTAGACTAAAGGTAGGTTATATGAGGGGGGAAAGGAGGGAAGGAGAAAGAGAAAGAAGGAAATCAACTAATTTTGCATGCTAAAATCACAATCACAATTCTAGGCCACTAAACCTACCTAAATTAATTAGTATCATTCCAAATCTGGAAGAGTAAGGACATGTGGTCTTGCAAAGTTGGTGGTATTGGACGAGGCAGGATCATTTATCAAGATAGAAGGCCAGCTCCTGCCACTTTTAGAAATGTGAAAGTACTGAACTAAATTATTTTTTCTACTGGAAAATTTTATTAATAGTATTTTCCATTTGGAGTAATTCTTTATTAAGAGAAAAAAAGTTAACTTCTGACTAATTCACTCCAGGCAAAAATACATTAATGAGATTTTCATGACTTGGATTTAGGAAAACTATAGTCACCAATCCCCCTTGTTCTCAGGGGACATATTCCAGGACCCAGATAGATTCCAGAAACAGCAGATAATACCAACCCTGCATACCTCTGTTTGTTCCTATATATACATACCTAGGATACAGTTTCATTTATTAGTTTTTGCACGCTAAAATCACAATCACAATTCTAGGCCACTAAACCTGCCTAAATTAATTAGTATTATTCCAAACCTGAAGAGTAAGGACATGTAAGAGTAAGGACATGAGTGAGTATAAGAGTAAGAAGTAAATGACTTCTTATAGTCATTTATTTAAACTTTTCTTAGCAAAAGAGTAAAGATAACTAATAATAAAGTAGAATAATTATAATATACTATAACAAAATGTATTTAAAACTTATGAATTGTTAATTTCTGGAATTCACCAGTTAATATTTTTGGACTCATGCTTGATGGTGGGGAACTGAAGTCATGGAAAGCAGAACTGAGGTTCAGGGGATAAGTGTGATAGATGCTGAACCCCTGTGTGCTGGGTGGGATTCACTATCCACTGGCCAGCTCTGGGGCTTCCACCTGTCACTCTGCATGGCAGTTATCTGTTGGCATATCTGCTCCTCATGGATCATTAGTGTCCTGAGTACCAGCATCAGATTTGGCGAGGTGCCATGCCCATGCCATCCTGCACACAGGGCTGATGTGATGCTGCTGTGTGTCATCAGTGCTCCTGCGCAGTTGGGCCCACTCCGGAAGATCCGCCTCTGGCATGACAGCCGTGGGCCTTCCCCGAGCTGGTTCATTAGCCACGTGATGGTGAAAGAGCTGCACTCAGGACAGAGCTGGTTCTTCCCTGCCCAGTGCTGGCTGGCTGCCGACCAATGGGATGGCCACGTGGAGCGAGAGCTCACCCGCCTGCGCCATGGGTTGGGTTTCCAGAAAGTAAGTCCCATGCCAGTGCCAACCTGCCTACCTGGTGACTGGCACACCTTAGCACCTAGCTCTGCTTCTCTTCTTATAGTCATTTATTTAAACTTTTCTGAAGTTTGGCATATTATCTCTTTTCTTAGTCAACTATCAGGATATTCATATCTTCAGTGATGCATGCAGTAAGTGGCCATGTAAGCATGAACTGATGGCCTTTGCCAACTTTAATCTGTACAGTAATGTTTCTTCTTTTAACAATTACTGCAATACCACCTATGGAATTTCTGGTTACTGGTGGTTTGCAATGTTCATCAGACCCCTAATTAAAGTCTTTCCAGCACCTTGTGTATACATACAAAACAACTTAGATTACTATCACACAATATAGATGTGATCAGGGCCAGATGGCAGGAGATGGTGAAAAGTGACAGTCACCCATGATCTCACAGACCAACTGTGAAAGTTTTGATTTTTACAAGTTCTCTTCCAATCTTTCCCTATTTCCAGTGTTCCCTATTCATTTTGTATAGTTGTAATAAAAAGACTTATGTGTTTTATGCTTCCTAATTCAACATTTTAGAGTAAATTTCTTTATGAATGCTCTTTATGAACAATTTAAGGACTTTATAATGGCTGATATACACTCTTATTTGCTTAAGTATCCACCTACTGGGTACTCTTGATTTTCTTTTATTTACTTCCATGATAGAAAACTGTAGGTTTGAGTGTGTCTTTGGGTTTCTGGCAAATGATTTCCTAAGATGGTTCTCAAGAGTGAGTCAGGGCCCATGAAAGCTGATATTTCCACAGACACTGGATCTCACCAGTCCACTGGGCTCTCCTTCCAGCATGTCCCATTGTCATGGTGGTGAGGAGAACCAGGCTTACAACTGTAGTAGTTTCTGGCTTGACATTGCTAATTTATTAGGAAGCACAATCATCATGAATTTTAAACAAGGGTTTCTAATCAGCCACAGCATATGGAAATTCTTCAGCACCTGAAACCAAGGGACAGATTCAACTGGGACTTTCCTTCAGACTTCCATGTAAGAATGACCACTTAGCTGACTGAACACAGTTAACAATAGGAGATGTGCATTGTTTCTCCTCCAGCTATTTTGCTTGAGAACTTTGTGTAAGAAATTTACACTAAGTTAGCCACTTATGAGTCCATGTAGCTATATTCCATGAATCCACTGTAACTCATTGGACAATCAGTTGACATATAAAAGACACAGTCTTATTCTGTTTCGATTGTTTTGCTGGTGTTTGCTTATTATTCTACTTGTATTTCATATATCAGTCCTATGTATAAGTAATTCTGGTTTTTTTCTACAATGTTGAGCACTAAATAATGTTTGAATTGCATTGAAACATTAAAAATTTAGTGTAATTCCATGGGCAACATAGTGCCTGCTACATGGTGGACCATGTGGGTTACAGCATGGGTGGCACCAGCTTTTGGTGCACTCAGAGCCCAGTGAAAATGAACAGTCTGTTGGGGAAAGTACTGAGAACAGTTCCTAAATAGTCTATTAGGAACACATGGAGAAGTGTGTTCAGAGACTCTAGAGAGAAGGGGCTTCTGAGCTAATGTTAAAAATTCAGAAGCCAGACAAGTGAGAGGGAGGAATGATTGGTACCAAGTCTCAGGGGCCTCCAGTAGGAGGCTGGACTAGGCCAAAGTCCAGGGTGGTGGGAGTGTGTGGTTGCAGCAAGATGCTGGTAATGAGGTGGGAGGAAAGAAGCCAGAGCAAGGGGCTGTGTGGATCGTCCACCTGCACCCAGTGGTTATATAGCATCCAGCTAACCAGCCCAGGTAGAAAAGCCAAAAAATTTTGGAGTCTCAGCTTAGGAAATTGTTGGTTATCAGTCAGGATCTCACTTTGTTTACACAAATGTTTGACATCAGGAAATTGTTGTCTTGTGGTTTTCCCTTTCAGCTGTTCTATTCCAAGTTCACAGAGTACCTGGAAGATTTCCATGTCTGGCTCTCCGTGTACAGTCGGCCCTCCTCCAGTGGCTACCTACACACACAGCGGCTCACGGTGTCCTTCTGTCTGCTGTGTGTCTATGCATTCCTTGCAGTCCTGGTCACTGCAGGCGAACATGAGCAGGTGGGAGGCAGCTGATTTTCCCACAATGGCTGCCAATTCTCAAGACCTAAAGCATGGCTCCCTCTTAACCCGGAAATTAGCAAGACTCACTGTACTTGAAGAAGAGTTTAAACCAGGGGAATCAGGCTGTGTACCTGGAGGGACCCCAGGTGACATGGCCAGAGATGTAGCTGGGAAGGGTCTGAAAGATGAAAGGTCTGGGTGAGGAGCTGCTGTGGTTGGCTGACCACTGCTGTATGAGACCTCAAACCCCAGGGGCCACAGAGCATGATATCCCCAGAGGTATTGGTAGCCTGGGTTGTCTCGTGGGAACACTCCCAAGTTTTTTTTAAGGTTGACATTTATTCACATTTTAAACAAATGCTTTGGCTGAGAGAACAGGGAAAAGTTAGCATGGCCACATTAGCATTTGGAATGCCAGTTTACACTGCAAACATGGTCTAATTATTCCTCATGAAATGTAGAGAATTAATTCTGAAACAGTTCAAGCAGTTAAAATGGAGAACCTGTCTCTCCTGAGTGAGGGGAAACAGCATGATTTTGGAGGGTATGGCAAAACAGTGGGATTAGTTTCTTACAACTCAGGGCCACTTATAAGCCCAACCCACTACATCCATATGGTCCCAACCATGCAGCTGCGGATGGTGGCCTTCTTACATGGCACCAGATATCAGAGAGGTCTGGTAACAGTTATAGATTTAGAATTTTTTAAAGGAGTGCCATGTGCAAATAATTAGTTTTTAAAAAATATTTCAAAAAATCTATCACTAATTGGCAAGAAGGGAACCACCATATCCACCTGGGATGTACTCAGGACCTGTAGTCAGAAAACCTATCTTGGGTCACTCCTGTGAGATCAACTAGTTGTCTAATCTGAGGCCTGACCATTTTTCTTTGTTGGGTGGCACATTGAAGACATTGATGCCTTCTTGTCAGATTATAGCAAGGATTAAGTCCATTGAGAATCCCCTTCATGAAAAATGAGTGTCCGCAGGGACTTCTACAGGAGAAAAACAAATGACTTTTTTTTGTGATTTTTTTTAACCTGGATTGAGAGAGCAAAGGTTAAGTCTTCGGAACTACAAATGCCCCTGAGTTTTGAGTTGGAATCACTTGAGGAGTTATAACTTCTACTGTTGACTGTCGTAGCTCCCTCTGGATGTCGGCCCCACAGACATCACTCTCCGATCCTTTAGTCTGGGTTTCCTGTGCACCCTCCTGGCCTCCCCAGGGTCACAGCTCTTGGCACTGCTCTTCAGGCTCAGCAAGGTACCTGTGGACTATCTGCACGGCCCTATGCTCCTGAGTGGCACCTCCATTGCTGGGGGATATCCTCTCTAACCAGCCTCTACTTCTGCAGGAAGCGATGGAGTATCCCCGGACTGAGGCATGCAGACTGCTAAGAGGAGTGCAGACAGAGGTCCCTCTGGGTAAGCATGCACTAGAAACTCAAACTCTCCCCTCAAGCTGATCCCCTGGGCCAATCTTTTAGGTAGGAATGGAATCCCCTACTTCCAGTTTGCATTATGTTTCATATATTTAAAAGCCATCTTATTTTCTGTGGGTTGTCCCTTTCCTTTGCCCCTCTTCATTGACTTCATAGAATCCTTTCTTTTTCTAAACAAGATTTAAGTGATTGCCACTTAGTTATGTAAATGGGCCTTTGTCCAATGGAGACTGAATACTTTTTCCCAGTTGCTATTGTTGTTTCAGTTTTATTATTTTAATTTTTTTATAGTACCATTTATCACTATTTTCTTTTAAGGCTCTTTTTACTATTTAAAACGTTTTTCCAATACTGCTATATTTCCTGAGGGCAGCCCTGGGTGACTGAGGAGGTGTCAATTCCACACTGGGATGGCAACATTAAAAAGTCCTCATCTTAGCTTTGTCCCATATCTCAGAAAGGCTAATTATGATGGGTCAGGAAGAAGAACTGGAGGTAGTGTACCAGGTAGCTTTAAGATGTCCCTGGGTTGACATCATACATTTGCCTTTTTTTCAATCAGATCCTACTTCCTGTAGAGGTACCCAAGACACCCAGGAGCCATGTAAGGTATGTGGACAACTACATGCATTAACTAATTCTCTAGCATAGCAGTCTAATAATAAGATTTCTCTGGCATTCTTCTTTGGCTGCATGTGGTATGACCATGGGAAGGTCACACATTGTGCTGTCTGGGATCCATTATCTGGAAAAGTAGGGCTGATTCTCAAGCCCCAGTGAGGGGGGATGGGCATCCAGGTAGTATCAAGAAGAAGGAGTTTCTGCAGAGGCCAGAAAAATGGGAGAGGAGCAGCCCTGCAGAACCTAGAAAGCCTCATGTATATGTTCAGTGAAAACTGCCAAGGCCCCTGTGAAGAAGAAAGGCCTGGATGTCTGCTTAGCCTGCTCCTTTCAGCCTAGCACGAGGAGCAGGGCCTTGGAGGAGCTGTTGCAGTGATATGAGCTCCAGGTCTCAAATAGGCCTCTGACTAAAAGCAAGTGAAGGGCAGTTTCTAATGGTGTGACCACAGTAACCCATTGGGATTTTGCTTGTGGGATCTAGGTGACTATGCCCTTAGCTTAGTCTGTGCTTCTTAGTCTCTCACCCCTGCCTGGCAGCTTCAGGGCCTTTGCGTGGAGCATTGTATGCCCTATCCCTAAATGCTGTGCTGGGATTCTCTCTCTCCCACCTTGGAGCCTTTTATCAACCATTGCTCTTGACTGAAACCCTCCTTGGGCAAGTAGTGCCTCCTAGGAATCAGGGTGCAATTACCTGAAAAATGGAGCTGCTACCAAGCCACAGGCATTGCTTCATGGTCACCCCACAGGTCCTAAGGAGCCAGCTCCCAAGGCTGACTGTGCTTCCCCCTCAGAATTCAAGGACTGCACTTGACCATGTGCCATGCCTGTCCTGTGAGAAGGCTCATATGGCACCATTGTCGAGGAGTTCACTATCTGTGGGAATATTGACCTTGGCCTGTCCTTGTCATTCCAGCATTCTGTATCAGCCATTCCTTCTGGGAGTGATGGGAGCAGAAGAAAGGCAGAAGGCAATGACACAGCCTGCCCATCCATGGACTTGGAGGCCTGCAGGCCTGACCACCAGGGGACTTTGCAAAGGGAAAAGAGCCACCACTCCCCTCCTGGCTTACAAGGTGACATTGCCATGTGGTTGCAACAGGCAGCCCTCTTTTCTGCAGGCCCATCATCAGCCTTAGCCATGAGAGAGGCAGGATGAACAGAGTTGGAGTTGAGACGCATGTCACTAGACACTTGAGTCTTATCTAAAAACAGGCTTGGACTCATTTGAAATGGTGGCTTCTAACTTTGTCCCAAATCCTGATTGATTTATTATTTATATTCAGTATAAATTACATCAGATCTTTTTAAAAGCTAGTAATAGTGTCTTCACACTTCTTTAGATATTCTGAAATTTGAAGCTTTGTGTTTTAAATTTTTTCCAATTTCTTTTGCTGGTGCATTATAGTTGTACATAATGGTAGGATTTGTTGTTACATATTCATACACGCACACAATATAACAGTAAATCTACCAATATTATTCCTTAGTCTGTCCCCTTCCCCTTCCCTCCTCCTCCCTCCTGGTCCCTTTCTTCTATTCTCCAGATCTCCCTTCATTAGATTTTCCTTAGATGTGCCCCTCCCATATTTCTTTTCTTTTTTTCTCTGTGGTGAAGCTTTGCTTTTATAAAATGTAAATTAGAGTGAATAGCAGCCCTTCCTTCAATTATGCTGCAGGCTCAGCAATGAGCTGGAAAAGCAGAAAATGACCTGGAAAACAAGGGCTGCACCCAGGGAGGGCAGGTCATCCTGCGCTTGGGTCTCAAGTTGCATGTGTGCAACCATGAGGGCCTACTCAACACAGGGCCTAGAGCATTGGTTTTGGGTAGCAGGTGAACCCTGCTCTGCATACTCACCATAGGAGCAGAAAAAGGTCTTTTCTGTGGGTGAATGAGACCTCAGGTAGGTGAGCCTATAGTACAGGCACCAGTATTGCCAAAAGTATGACTACCCTCCATGGCAAGCTGGACACATGCATTCTGGGAAGTGAAAGCTCAGAAGTGGAAAGTTCGCACTGGTGGACCAGACGCCAAGGAGGCGGTGGGGAAGGTGTGGCTTAGGAAGACACTGCCATCCCATCCTGGTCACACCTCTGCATTCCTGTTGCATGTTCAGCAAGTGTCCTTTGGTTTGCCCAATGCCAGCTTCCTGGTCTATTGAGATGGGCTGGGTTTAGTTGCCCTTGATTGACACTGCCTCCTGCCCCCAGATGTTCCCCCATTGGGATTTATCTCTAAGAACCATCCCTTGAGAAAAGGAGTTCTACAACTCCCCTCCAAGGAGAGGGACTTTGTGGGGTGACCTCTGGTTATGTGCATGGCTCTGGAGGAATTGCATAGCTAAGAGGAAATGATGAAGGCTGTGGGGACAAGTCACAGCTCTGTGTCCAAATGGTGTGAGTGAGTCTTAATCCAGTCAGAGCAGATCCTACAGATCTAAGTCAGCCTACTTAGTCATTTGGGATCTGAGATGGAAACTAGTCCCTCTGCCTCTAATGTTGGGGACCTCTCCATCATTTTAAGAGGCATTTTAGTAGAACCCCTAAGGTGCTATCCTGGACCTTCAAGCAAAGATCAATGTTCTAGCTCAAAGACCATCAGGAAAGATGAGTTCCTTTTTAACCCATTTGTTCTATTCAGGCCTTCCACTGATTGGGTGAAGGCCCATCTACCATCAAAAGGCCTCTGCTTTATTCAGTCCACAACACAAATGCTAATGTCATCTGGAAACTCCCTCATAGACACACCCACAATAATCTTTGGCCCAATTTCTAAACACCCTACAACCCAGTCAAGGTGACACTAAGCTCACCATCACACTGTGGGTGAGGATGTTGGGTCTGTTAACCAGCTTGTCTCTGTCTTACTCTTCTGTAGCTCCAAAAGGTGGTTTTGAAGGGCTCATGCCCCAGTGGTCAAGAGCTGGCATGCCTTGGTCAAACTCTGCAGCATGGGCCATTTGTGGATCAGCTTCCCTAGCCTGTGGACTGGGGACAGGACTCATAGGCTACAGGTGAGCTTTTGAGGCTTTCAAATATACTCAGGTCACTTGATGAAAGTCTAGCATTTGTAAAGGAGGCCCCTCTTTTCTAGGAACACATAAAATGCAGATACCAGATGTCACCATTGATATTTTCTCCCTCACCCCACTCCACCCCATGGGAGTGAGCAGAATCATATGCAAACCCCAAAGGATCAGTTGCTTGGGCAAGCTCTGCAACAGCCCGGATGGCATACTGGGTTTTAAATAAGAAGGTTTTAAATAAGAAGGTCCTCATTAAGGAATGAAGGGCCAGTCACCAAGCTCCTGAGAGGGAGCTCAGACAAAGTGCTCATCATCTCCTGTTTGAAGAAGCCCAGGCACAGAGGAGGCTGAGGCAGGAAGATTGTAAGTTAAAGGCCAGCCTCAGCAATTTAGAAAGGCCCTGTCTCAAAACAAAAAAATAAAAAGGACAGAGGACATAATTTAGTGGTAGAGCTCACCTGGGTTTAATCCCCAGTACAACAACAAACAAGCCTATGCCTGTGCGACGGTTACCATCCATGCACCATCCATTCGGGACTGCCCCCGGCACTCAGTGCCTCTTGGTCTGGCTGCCGTGTGGCTTTGGTCACCACTAGAGGCCCCAGAGTCATCTCATGGCTCCTGTGGGCCCACATGTTCCTAAACCATGGGAAGTAGGTCACAAAGCCAAGGCCTTTTCTTCCTTATGATCTCCCCTCACCCATATGCACACACTGAATCACCGTGAGGATGGATGAGGCACTAGAGCCCTCTGTGCCTCAGTTTACCCATCTGGAAAGTATGGATCCTCGGCCCTTAATTCTTGGGGTCCAAGGAGGCAGGTGAAGTCCCAAGTGCTCTCCTGCTCCCACTGCATCCACTTGTTGCAGCTGTCACCAGGTCACACCTGCCTTTTCCTCCTCTTCCCTCCCTCTGCTCTGTTGCTGTGTGTTGGATTTCTTTTCTCTTACCACTGAGTAGCTTTAGAAAGGCAGATATTCTCTCAGCAAGGAATGACTCTCCTCTAATGGGCTGAAAGATACAGTGCCCACGTCCAGTAGCCCCAACCTGGCTGCAGTCCCACTTCCTGCCCAAGGTCTCAACCTGCAAAGGTGCTGACCTACTCCTGTGTCCCCATGCTCAGGTGGTAGTGACCATGGTGGCTTGCTCCCACAAGGGTACTGACTGCATTCTCTCCTGGACAGGTTTGTTATGGCTCAGTGTATGAGGTGGCTGCACCTGTTGTCCCTTTCCGTGGTCTGCTGCGTGTTTGTCACCCAGCCACTCATGGTAAGACACACCTTCTGAGGCAGACGTTCCTCTGTTCAGCAGGACACTGGAGAGGGGCATGCATTTTGGCAATGCATGTTGGCTGCATTTTGGCAATGCATTTCTTTTCTTTATAGTTTGATTTGAGATGTGGTGAGGGAAAAACAGAGGGAGCCAGGCCTTGTGCTAAGCTCCATAGGTGACCACCCATTTTTCAGTTGAGGAACCTGAGCCTGGAGAACTTAAGTCTCTCAGGCCAGGCCAGGCCTGGTAAGGGGTCAAGCCTCTGGTGAGTGGTTCAGAACCAGGAAATGGAGGCCTATTGGCAATGAGGTACCAGGAGGACAGTTCTGTGGAGGGAACACAGCCCAATGCTGATGATAGCCCCTGCTATCACATCTCTCCCTCCAGATATGCATCATGGCATTGGGCTTTGCTTGGAAAAAAAAAGACGACAACCAATTTTTTGCTGAGTCTTTATATGAAGCAACCAGGAATCTGGACTTGGAATTGGAAGAACGTTACAGAAGCCATGTTCCCCTTTCTCACAGCTGCTGCATTTCTGACTGTGCAAGGGAAGTTGAAAAAGTAAGGGGATTATCAGTGCAGCATGAACTGGGCTTTGGAGAACCATGCTGTATGTGTTCTTGTCATGTACTTCCCTTCTTCCCTCCATCCTTAATTTCCTTTCTTTCTCCTTTCCTTCCTATATTCGGTTTTGCTTGTTTGTACATATGGTATTGTCTTAGGTGTGGATGTTATGAAAAAGAGCAAGGTCTTTCAGCCACCACAAAGAAACTCACAGGCTTGTTGTTGACATGAATATACATAAAATAAAATGTGCTATTCTATTCTGAGAAGTAATCACTGGTCCTTATGACCAAGGCTGCAGCCCCAGTTCATTCACAGTCAGATACCATCTCTCCCTCTGCTCACCCTCCCTCCCCTCCTCTCAGAAAGCCCGGAGACTCCAACAGGCTAAGCAACCTCATCAGGTGACTGATCTACAGCCTTCCTCCCTGGCACCTGGATGATGAGAATATATACTGAGCATCAATTATATAGTCCGTGGTCATTGTGTCATTATGATTTGGATGTGAGGTGTTAGGAGAGCCTTAACCCAATCAGTGAATTAATCCCCTGATGGGATTAACTGAGTGGGAATTGAATGCAGATGGGTGTGGCTGAAGGAGGTGGGGCATTAGGGGTGTGGCTTTGGGGTATATATTTTGTATCTGGCAAGTGGAGTCTCTCTCTCTCTGCTTCCTGATCATAGTGAGAGCCACTTCCCTCTGCCACACTCTTCTAGCTTGATGTTCTGCCTCACTTCAAGCCCCAAGGAATGGAGTCAGCTGTCCAAGGATTGAGACTCTGAAACTATGAGCCCCCAAATAGACTTTTCCTCCTCTAAAATTTTTTTGTCATGTCTTCTATTCACAGCAGTGAAAAAGCTGACTAAAACAGTCATGCTACATTTACGTTCACTATATCAATTTGTTGCTTATAAGATTTTGTGAAGTAGGCAGGATTATTGCATCCCACTTTAAAGATAAGGATATTGGGGCTCATAGAGGTGAAATAATAAAGGCCAAGGCCACATAGCAGTACGGTACACCCCAGCACCTCATCTGAGGAGCAGTTTTGTTGTGGTTTTTTCCTCACACCTGTTGGATCTCAACTTTCCTTTCTGCTTCAAGGCTTTCTTACTTTTTCCCCAGGTGCAGATACTCCACCTCCCTACTCTATCTCTGTTCTTTCTCTTTCTATAGATTTTTCCTCAGGGGTAGATTCCTCTGGCAGATTCAGCCGTGATCCTAAGGGTCAGGTTGGCATCACTAGACCTGTGCCCATCCCATTAGCACCTTGAAATCAAGATGCCTGTATCAGTTAGTTTTGTGTCACTATGACCAAAATACCCAACAAGAACAACTTAGAGGAGGGAGAGTTTATTTGGGGCTCCTGGTTTCAGAGGTCTCAGTCCAAGGGTGGCTGAGTCCATTGCACTGGGCCCAAGATAACCTAGCACACCATGGCAGAAAGGATGATGGAGGAGCATAGCTCCATTCATGGCAGTCAGGAAGTAGAGGAGAAAAGCAGAAAAAAGGGCCACAGGGTAGATACACCCTTCCAGGGTATAGCCCCAGTGACCCACCTCCTCTAGCAGCACTCCACCTGCCCACAGTTACTACCCAGTAAGTCCATTCTAGTTTGATTAGGTGACAGCTCTCATAATCTCACAATTTTTACCTCTGAACATTCCTGCATTAACAGAGGAGCTTTTGGGGGAAACTTCACATCCAAACCACAACAGAGCTCTACCCACCAACCTTCCCCACATTCGGCTTCAGTGCTCACCCTTCTCATGATAACACATCCATCAGCTGAAAGGAATATCCCAACCACCAAGCTTCAATCCCCAGGTTCACTGTTATACCATTTGTACTGCCATGTATTTCTTAAAAGTACAACAGAGGAAGGAGAGCTTCTGAGTTTCCAGATCAATGTCTCCCATATCTGACCTAGGGTCTCCTCATTGAACATGTATTGAATGAACAAATGTGTGAATGAGAAAAAAAAAATGAATGAACTCTATCCACTGTTATGTGTGTCTTGAACATAAAGAGACATAATATGAAAGCAGTAATATTTTAAAAAAGAAAATCAAAGGTCATTTCTTGCTAAGACTGTACTTTAAAATGTTTTTCCAGACTTTGAAGATCTCTAAAAGAAAATACCATGCAAATGCCAAAGATAATTGCTCCCATAATTTGACAGTAGCAGACATGCCTGTTGTGTAAAGCTGCTCTTTATAGTGGCCCAGCTTCAGCTCCTGCCAAAAAAAAGTTTGGCTGGGATATAAGCAGAGTTTCTTTTAAATGGAGCTACCCTGTCTCCAAACCTCTCCCCAACAACCTGGTATACATTCTCTACATAAAGTAGCTCTTTGTTCCCAAATACCAGGCAAAGCTCAGTGATGACGTTGCTTTTGGCTGATGGTAAATGCCTCTCTCCTTTCACTGCCAGCCTGAGGGTCTTAGCATTTTCATCCCTGACAGGTCTTGGCTGCCCGACAACGAGAACGCAGCCTGCGCTGGGTGCGCCCACCATCCAAGGCTCAGCTCAGGGTCATCAGGGAGAAGATTAGGAAAAAGAGTCGTACGGAGGCAGCCCTAAGGTGGGTGCAGATGTGCATAAGATGGGTGCACTCTCGTCGAACTTCCCTTTCAGAAGGAGCACCTTCCTGCTGATGATCATTCTTAAAAGATTATTCTCATTAGGTATTGGGGAGTACAGGTGGGAAGATCCTTTTCCATATATCATTCTGTGCCCGGCACTGGGATGCAGGGAAATTAGAGTCAGAAAACTTGGTCCCGCAAGCTACCCATGATAAGTTGGTTAACATCTTACTCCCTGGTCCTTAATTTCCTCCATCCATGCATGGACTCAGGAGAGGGGGGTGGGGCGGAGAAAAGAAAAAGACCAGCAACTTTTTAGAGCAAAAATGTGCTTTCAAACAGTTTATAGAAAAAAAGAAACACTATGGCACTTCCACCTATAGTTAGAGAATTGCAAATTAAAACTGGGGGAAAAAAAAAAAATATATATATATATATATATATATATATATCTCCATCCACAGGCTCTTTTGGTGAGCTGTGATAAAGTGCTCTCACACTGATAGGAATGTAAAAGGTACAGCCAGCCCCCATGGGGGAATTTGGAACTCTCTAGCACAAGTACAGTTGTGCTTACCTTTTGCCCAGACTCCCCAATAGTAGGAATCACCCTTAAAGACACATTAGCAAAAATATGAGAAAACCCGAGCATAAGACAATTAGTGCAACATCTTGTGTAATAGAAATAGCTTAGGAATAACCACATCTTCCCAGGAGGACAGGGACAGCAAGGAGTTGTGTTTAGATATAACAAAAGCATGAGGAGCCCAGCACAGTGGAGCATGCCTATAACCTCAGCTGCTTAGGAGGGGGGAGGCAGAAGAATCCCAAGTTGGTGGCCAACCTCAGCAACTTAGCGAGACTCTTTCTCAAAATAAAAAAATAAAGACTTAGGCTGTCGCTCAGCAGTAGAATGCTTATCTAGCATGCAAAAGCCCTTGCATTTTCAGTAGTGGCAGGCAGGGTTGGGGGGGGGGCGGTGAGGATGGCTTTTAGGGAAAGACCTTCAGGATCTAATGGGAGAAGCTCCAGATAAAGAACTTGCTTGGTGTGCTTCCCCCGCTGCTTAACAGAAAGAATATGAATATGTATGCCCATGAGTCTGCTTATCTTAAAACATAGGAAAGGAAATTATATTTAACTTTAGAAAATGAGTGTTATGGAGAGAGAAGAATAAGATTTTAAAAAGATTTGTGTTAAGATTAAAATTTTGCCCTTACTGGTTAGATTCCACCTCAAAAATATTGGAAGCTTCTAGTCCTAGTTTTGAATTAAAAGTGTAGATATGAACTAATGTGGAATTTAAAACAAAAGAATAATATTTCCCTAGCTCCATTCACTAAGAAAAGAACTAGAAACAATCCAAGAGCAATAAGCCCCAGCACCTAGATTCCAGTCTACAGATACCATTTTCCACCAAAATAATAATAATAATAATAATAATAATAATAATAAATAAAATCCAGGAATTATTGGGATTTCTGATTTAAAGTCTGTGACAGAAAATACACAAGCTGCTCCTGAAACATTGTTTAATCAAAAGATTAATAACAACTAGAACCATCACCAAAGGACTCAGAAGCCAATTTTAAGGGAGTTCATGTTGGTCAAAGATGGGATAATTTGACACTAGATTAAAAATTGCAACTATAATGAATTAAAGGTTATGAAATATATTTAAAGCCATGAGTTTAGGATGATGCCAAAAACTGTAATAATTGCAACTAACGTTAGAAAACACGCAGAAATCCCCTTTTTAAAAACTAGGAAATACTGTTGCCTTTCCCAATAAACTGCACCTCTGGGAAAATACAGGAAAGGAGAAGGGAATTTTTTTTTCACAGAGGTATTCCAGCTGCTAGGTGAAGGCTAATGATGGAATTAGAACTTGAACGTTTTTTGCAGCTTTTAATTAATTAACTAATCTAGCCACTACTCATCAACAAAGGGCAATATAAAAGAAAGAAGGAGAGAGACCCAGAAATAATCAGACATTGTGTGTTTTCTGACCATCACCCCTAAGCCAGTCTATCCCGAAGAATTCAATCTTAATTTGATGAAGGTTGTTTTTTCTTTTGCAACTTATAGTTTATAGTGAGAACACACTAAATAACACTATAAGGAAGCAAAGACATACAAATCTATAGCACACAGAACCAATTTGTTCAACAAGTAAACTGCAAAGCAACCAAAAAGAGTTCCAGTAGGTACATAATATTAAGAGATATAACAGAAAATTGGTTAGTGTATTACATCATATTAACATGATAAATAAGGAAAACCATATGATTCTCCCAGTAGATGTCCAGAATGCATGTGACAAAATCGAACATTAATTCATGAAAGAAGGAAACCCCAAAACTCAGCAAACTAGAAATAGAAAAGAAATATTCTAAGCTAATACAAAGGGTA